CTAACGAGGAGGGAAACAGGTAACAAGATCCTCCGTATCTTGAAGTCCAACGGTACGACCATCACCATTCTGAGTTCCGGAACCCCAGTTGCACCAGTACCTTGAGATCCGTTGGAAGTTGAATTGGAAGATGGATTGGCTGGGATGGAGCGAGAGGAAGTCATGCGCCGGGATTGAAACACATCCACATTGGTTCGACAGCGTGGACGGATGGGCGCTGGTCGCTTTCGCACCTTCACTCCCGTCTACCTATAGACGGTAGCGGGAGGAAGACACGAAAGACAAAAAGACGCAGGTTGAAACTACACCGCACCGTCTTGAGGGAGGGGAGGGGGCGAATCGAAAGAACATTCCCCTCCCCGACACTAGCACCACCATCGATCGCATCCTCAACTCCCGCACACCACTCCCATCAACAACTTCAATTTCAACATTTCTCCACGATCTCAAAACACTGGAGGGAAGGGAAATACCGACCCAGAAAGAAAACCCATGGTCCAATTCACTTTGCGCACTATGGTGTTTGCTTCGCTGGGTCGCTTCCCAAAAACCCCGTATTGCCTCTGCTTGGTCAAAACCTAGGCTGACAGAGTGATTTTCCCCAAAACAGGCCTTGCCCCCGAGCTTCCCGAGGACCTGTACCACCTCATCAAGAAGGTATGTTCTTTATTCTCCGGAAACGAAAAGAAAATTAAACTAATGATGAATAAGGCCGTCGCCGTCCGCAAGCACCTTGAGCGTAACCGCAAGGACAAGGACAGCAAGTTCCGCCTGATTCTCATCGAGTCCCGTATCCACCGTCTGTCCCGCTACTACAAGACCGTCGGTGTCCTCCCCCCCACCTGGCGCTACGAGTCCGCCACCGCCTCCACCCTCGTTGCTTAAGCGACTTGACGTCGTTGGGTCTCCTGGGTCTGGGTTCTGGTGTGGTTGTGACTTGGCCTTCGTGGTTGGTTCTTGTCTTCTGTTTTTCCCTTGTGTGTGATCTGGAAAGGGTTTCGATAGGGGAAAATGGGGTCTATGTTCTGGCTATGATCAAGTCATGAATATCAAAATTTCTTCACGACCACTTCTGGTCTTTTTTGTAGACGTAGATTGTTCTCTCGAACGTAGTGTGTGTATCTGTCCAAATGTGCTCAGGAAAACTGAACCAGGTTCATCCAACATCTATACATCTATGCATGCACCACTCAAAATCAACATACCAACGCCAACAAAGCGTACCCCCCAAAGCCAAGTCCTGATAGACCATCAAGACCCAGCAACCCTCACCTCCCGCGCAACCGCATTACACAACTCGACCCTCACTCCGGCCCCGGAAAGCACATGGATCCACAACCGCTGCGTATCGCTCAGCCGATCATTCTCCGACTTGACCTCCACGAACATCACCTCCCCGAACCGCCCTTTCTGCTCAGCTAACTTGCCAGCCTGCCGGCCCTCTTCACCCGCATCAGCAGCAGCAGCACCACCACCCAACCCTGTTCCTGGCTGTTCCGCGTCGTCAAAAACCCTCCAAACCAACAAATCCGGCACCCCGCCACCCCGTACCGAATACTCCTGCGCGAGCACCTTGCAGATGGCCGCGAGGGCCTCGCCCGGAAAGCACCGCACCAGCTCGACGAGGTCGTCGAGGGCGAAGGACCAATCCAGGCCGACGGCGCAGGTCTGCGTGGGGGATTCGCGGGCGTGGACAGCGCGGAGGAGGCGCTCGGCGGCGCCGGGAGTGGTGAGCTCGGCGAGGCGGTGGTTGATCTCGCTGGCGCGGGTGGGGTAGAAGGCGTCGGTGTGGAGGTCGAGCGGGGAGGTCTGGAAGGGGGTCTGGAAGACGTTGGGGACGTAGGTGGTGAAGAGGATGTCGTAGAAGAGGTAGCTGAACTTTTCGCCGCCAAAATCAATCAAAGGTTAGTTGGTGGGTGTTTTGAGTATAGGGTCGGGTCGGGTCGGGAACATACCAAGGTTCTGACGATGCCTCCTTCGGAGTGATAGCCTTTCCACCCTTGTTCCCGGTACCAGTTCAGACACATGGTCTCGACGCGGCATTCGCCGCCTTCGCGCTCGTCGACCCAGACGGTCGGACGGCCGCGGCGGGTGCTGTTACTGTGATTGCTACTGTTGCCGTTGGCGGCGGACGGCGAGTCGGCAGTCTCCCAAACAGACGCCGGCTCCGGCTCGACGATCTGGATGCCCGCGATGGTGCGCTCGGCGGGCTTCGCCAGCCGGACGTGCCCGAAATTATGCTGCTCGCGCTTCACGATCTTCAACGCTCGCTCGAGCTTCATGATGCGTTTCTGCAGGTCGTAGTGGAAGATCAGGTGGCAGTTGGGGTCCTCAAGCCCCGTCTCGCACGTCCGCAGCGCGACCCGCCGCCAGTGTTTCCGCTGCGCGTCCTCGCTGCGCCCCTCGAAGGAGGTCAGGGCCCACATGTAGTGCTCCTCCAGCAGCGCCTTGCGCTGATACCAGGCCCCGCGGCGCGCGGCGTGGAATAGCCGCTGGTCGAGAAGCTCCGTCAGCAGCCGGTGCTCCTCCTGGTGTTCCTTGAAGCGTCCGAGCGGGTGCAGACCCTTGTGGATGATCCGCGTGTAGACCCAGGCGGGCGAGAACCGCCGGAGGTACGCCCCCTCGCCGTATTCGTAGATGGTTTCCTCCTTGCGCTGCTCCTCCGCCAGCAGGGCCCGCCACCGGGGGTAGACCTTGTAGGCGAGGTCTTTGATCCGGGTCAGGTGTTCCACCGTGGGGGTGCCGCTGAACTCGAGAATGTTGTCGATCTGGAACTGCGTGCGCAGGGCGATCTCGAACTCGAGCAAGAACGCTCGGGTCGGGAAGATGGAGCTGGACCGGCACACGATATACTCCGGGAACTTCTTGCGGGAGATCTTGGCGAGGATGATGGTCGTGAGGGACTTTTCGGTCCATTCGGTGGAGCGGTAGAAGACCAGGTGGACGCGCTCGAACAAGGCGAGTGGACCTGCTGATAGCCGGATGCAGTCGCCCGTGTAATCGAAAATCTTCTGCATGAAGTGGTCGTCTCGATTGAGACCGTTGAATACTGCAGTGGCTGGTTTACTGTTCCAGCCCAGACCGGTCTGTTTCTGACTGGATCGGTGCAGAGCGGCAATGAGTTCATTCTTACTCTTGCCCTGCACCTTGGCTTCCTTGGCGAGCATCTTCAACTCATCAAGAAGTAGCAAGGACGAGGCCTCTTCGAGGGTGGTTATCTGATCCATGTGCTCGGCGAACCTAAACTCGCCCGTCAAGCGTAGCGAAGGCGCTGGGTCGATATCCGCGGGGTTTTCACCCGTGGACAACGGGCAGGAAGAGGTGGGAAGACAGCGAGGATGTCGCAGCGAGGTCACCACCCGGGGCATGTCTGCGATATCCGAGTAGTAGCCCAGCCGGTTGATGCGATGCCAGGCGGACGTCTTCCGAAGGAAGAGGCGCACATACCTAGAGAAATCACATTAGGCACTACCAAGATGCTGGTTGATACAATGAAACTCACAAGTACTGAGCCTCGTAGTCCAGCTCCTGCCATTGTTTAAAGACCTCCATCTCCACCTCGTCGAACAGATGCGCCTCCTCATCCAGCACAGTCTCCAGCGCCAGATTGAACGCATCTACGTAGATGGAGCTTCGCCCCTTGCGCCACTTGCCATCCTGCAACCTCTGGTGGAGGTCGGGCTCGTCCTGGCTTGCCAGTCGCGCAGCCTCGTATTCCTCGATTGCCTGGCTATCATCCTGAACGGCCGGCAGGGACGATTCCAGCTCCGTTTGGCTATTCGACACCGGGAAGTCGGTATCATGTTCAATTCCGGACTCGGCTATGATAGGATAAGAGTCAACCCGGTCGAGGGTTGGTACCCCGGAGTCTTTCGACAGCGGGGCATCAGACGACGACGACGTCGACTCAGGAGTGTTCTTCGAATGACCGCCCGCAATTTTTATAGCCGGGGTGGCGGGCTTATCGTCAGCGGCGGTCTTTCTGCGCTTCGCATTCGGACGCTGGGTATCCCAGTAGTCCAACAGGGACATACTGTCGGAGAGATACAAGCATCGATCTCGCTTGCCCTTAACGCATGGCCCGCTAGGCCGTGTCTCCGTGGTAAATGAATCTGAGGTTTTGCACTGCTTGACTTGCGAGGGAAGGAAAAAGCGTGACGCGAGCCGACACGAAGTCACATGATCTATAGTACCGAAACGGACAGACATCAGTTTGCACAGTTTGCAAAGCAGCGCGGGCGTCGGCGCAAGTTGATCGGATCTTCAGCTGAAATCCATCTTGTTCAGCACTCAGTCAAACCATTTTACCTGCTTTCCCTTATTCTGCATACATAACCTCAAATAGAATAAACACAACAGAGCAATAGACACAGATTCCTCCCCCCTTGCTTAATCAGTACCTCACAATGACCGACTCCAACCCAGTAAGGAACTCCTCTCCGAGACGGTACTATGGAATGATGGCAATCCAAACCCCACACCGGCGGAGCCCATGATGGGAGAGACACACAAGAGAGAGAGAGAGAGACAATTGCAAGCTCAGTAGCTCCGCTTTCTCTCAATTCCCTTCAGCCAATATTTTTTTAATTTTCCCTTTCGGCAACTCTATTGTACAATCCTGCCTCCATCAACTTGATTTCTTCCTTTTCTGTTTGAACCACAAATCGGGAATCAGAATCCCCTAACCTCACCAGTTCCCCGCAAACGGTTCTTCCGCGACCGAGCCTGCAGCTTCAGCTTCAGCTCCAACAGCAGAAGGAGAAGCAGCGATAGCCACTCCTACTCCCCAACCACAGGACCAGCAACAAGACCAAGGCCAAGCCCAACAGCAACAACCTCAGTCCAATCCCCTCCCGGCAACAACAGCAGCAGCAGCAGCAACAATGGCCGCCGACTCAACCTCCGCCAACACCCCGACCGCAGACTCCGCCGCCGCGACACCCACCAACACCACCACCACCGCCGCCGCAGCAGCAACAACAGCCACCGCCAACGGCTCCCAAATCCGACCGGGCGGTGCTCCCGCCCGCGTCTACATGAACGAGAAGATCGTACCGTATCTGCTCGAAGGGATGAAGAGCGTCGCGAAGGAACAGTACGTAGTTCCCCCCTCCCTTGGGCCCAACGCAATCGAAGAAGAAGAAGAGGAAATAGAAAAAAGCTAACACTCAAACCAGACCCCCGAATCCCCTCCGCGTACTCGGCGAATTCCTGATTCAGAAAAGTAACGAACTCGAGCAAGGGGGCGCAACAGCAGCAGCAACGAAAACCCCGGAGTAAGGAAATCTTACACTCCAGCAAATACAATAACCAGGCGATATGAAGTAATGCGCACATATGATCGTTTTGGATTTATACAGCTGGACCCATAAAGAAAACAAAGTGCGTTTGGCGTGTAATGCGAATTTATGATGAGACGATATGATCTAGACACAAAAATGGGAGCGAGAGAGCATGCTATGATGCCCATTGAGATAATATCTACAAGGTTTGGGGTTTTCACTGTGCTGGCTGTGCTGGTGAATTTCTGGGAAAAAAGGTCCCTTGGTGGGTAGCTTGAGGCCTTGAGTTGGCTCATCGCTCGAGAGTGTGAAGAAACACAGGCACTTGGGGAGAGTCCTGCTTCAACGTGCTGAGGAAAGGTGCATTGTCAAGATTGTGAGGTGTTGGCCTTCATTTCGAGCTGCGCCAGGGTCGCCAGAGTGCCCTGCTCTGCTCTCACCTGGCGCAGGAGAGAGCACTGCAACCAAGACTCCAGATCGAGCTGCATTTGGCCACGGACGATTCCCAGGCTTGAGGCTCCCTGCTGCGGATGTATAGTACTTATAGTTTTGGAGATCTAGCGTTAATGACCGATAGCTACGTGTGTCACCATGGGTAGGTCGCACAAGGGATCGGTAGAACTACCAGGACTCCCATGTAGAACGAGCATCACTGCAATGCGCATAGAATGTAAAGAGCTGGCTTCATCACCGAGACAACTGTTAATTCCACTAAAATCGAACTACCCATGACTAGATGTACCTAAAGCCGTACCATATGACCTGCAGTTAGCAAACTGGGATTGGACCCGCAGCAATCATCATGCTCTCTGAGTCACCCCCGTGATGCAAGGAGTTCGGCCTGTCGGTCGGTCGGTCGGTCGGTCGGTCGGTCAACTCTCAGCCAGGCAAGGTGAGCCGGGGGTCCAGCTCAGATTTCCCCTTCAGATCAGTTCTGGTGCTATAATAATCAACAATAACAATACTCCAGATCAAAACAAGGAACCTACCGTTCCGAATCTTCCCAGGCTGTGCGTCGCAAGAGGTAGCCTTGTGAATTGGGGTCGTATTTACGGGAATCTCTTCTCAGGCCGAGCATTAAAGGTATCTGCACAGACAGAAGATGCTGTGCAGTGTTTGCTGTCTTCCGTGGCTATACTACAACGCACAGCAGTACACCCACGCAGACATGGCGGTCGCAGAGAAGCCACCGTCGCAAGACTGTTTCCGCACTTCTTGCACTGCAAAATTTGCTCGGTCGCGGGTCCAGAGGAAACCTCTCCCAGGGCGCGACGAACAGCCTGGAGCAGATCATTTAATGGTAGAAGCTTTTTCTTTTCTTTTCTGGCCGCATACAATCGAAGAAGTCGTTACGTGTAAAGAGAGTTGTATAAGACGCAATAGACGCAAAATAGGCGAACAGCTGACTGAAGACTGAAGACTGACTGAAGACTGACTGACTGACTAGTAGCGAGATAACGACCAAGTTTCCGGAAGGGCTGAGGAGTGAAATGTAGCAGTGCTGATCCATCTGACAATCCGAGGAATTACAACGTTATTGTGTGTAAAGATCTTGTTCTGTTCTCTTCTTCTCCCTTGCCGCCATGCTTTTTTCACCGGTAGTTGCGCGAGCGAATTAACAAAAGAAAACATCAGTAAGTGTGACCGAGGAGCGACGAAACCACAGAGAATTCTGTTCTTGCTGTCCACGAGAATGATTTTCTGGTCTTTCTCTCAACTTTTCTTTTCACACGCTTAGTCTGGCGGTCGAATAGGCCGACGATGTTCGATGGCGCTCCGAATTCGCCCGAGGCTGGCATGTGAACGTGATGATTCCCTTGGCTTATATTGCTTTCCTGGTATAAGACAACACAGAGACGTCCCTATCGTGGCCCTTCGAGCCCATTTCCATTCATCCAGGGGTATTAAAAGAAAAAAGGGGGGAACCATTCCAAAGAACAGGGGGAAGTGACGGGGATGGTGACTTGAAACAAGGGGTGTGGTAAGGTGTAAAGAGGAAAAGAGTGAAGGGGAACGCGGAAGGCCTAGATAGGCCTGGGAGGGAGAACGTGGCATGACCTCGATTCAACCACCCATGTCTGATCAGTCCACCTACCTGGTGCTGTAACGGTCATCGCCGCCACGGGGTTCGTAGGAGCGACCACCGCTGCCGCTGCCACCACCACCACCGCTACCACCACCACCGGCATAGGGCTCACGGGCAGGGGGAGCAGATCCATAGCTGGCAGGGTTGGCATCGCGATCGTAGTAACCACGGCGATCCTCACCACCACCACCGCCGCCGCCACCACCGCCACGACGCTCCTCACCACCGCGGCGCTCATCGCGGCTGTAACGGTCCTCACGACCACCGCCCGAAGCATAACGGTCGATGCCACCACCGCCACCGCCACCGCCACCACCACGGTAACCATAGTCATCACGGTAGTCACGGCGACCGTAGTCGCGGTAATCACGACCACCGCCGTAGTCGCGGCGGTCACTGTAGGAATCATAGCGGCCATAGCGGTAATCGTCGCCGCCACGACGCCAGCTGCCACCGTAGCCACCACCACGGCGGTCATCATAGCGGTCACCACGGCCACGGGGACCTCCACGGAAGTCTTCTATAGTCAGTATTAGATTTTCAGTTCTTCACACGTAAAGTAAGGAAACTCGAAGCATACCACGCTTGGGGGGACCGAAGTATTTGCCAGGGGTAGGGGTTCTGGGACGGCTACGACGAGCCTTCTCGATGCTCAGGGTACGTCCCTCAATGACCTCACCCTGGAGACCCTCCTTGGCGGCATCAGCCTGCTCGGCGGTGACCATCTTGACGAAGCCGAAGCCACGAGACTCCTTGGTGTGAGGGTCGACCATGATCGAGCAGTTCTCGACGTCACCATACTTCTCGAAGAGACGCGAAATGTCCGACTCGGTCAGACGGGGGTGGATGCCGGTGACGAAGAGGTTAGATCCAGTGTTGAGGGCGCCTTCTTCATCGTCATCCAAAGGAGGCTTGCGGGTATCAACAGGGGGGCTAAGCATGTGATGGTCTCGAGGTCAGCTGGTTGCCCAAGGGGGGAAAATCGCCACCCGTGGGTGACGGTGATGCAAGCTGCTTCCTCGAAGCTCTTGTCTGGGGTAAACGCACCGGTCATCGACGCGTCCGTTGGGAGAACGGCTGCGGGTGCGGTCGCCGCGCGGCTCATCGCGAGGAGATGCGCTGCGGTCGCGGGTGAAGCGAGGTTCGTCTATTCAGTTGCGAAGAAGAAAAACCAGCATCAAGGATTAGCCGTGTGATTGCGTAGTTACCCGGACGATCAGCAGCCCGGGCTGTGAAGGCGATAGCTTTGACATACCGTCGTAGCGACCGTTCTCGTGATCGTACTCTGTAGCCATGATAATGGTTTTTGTGAAGAAACAGGGAGAAAAATCGGCAGAGGTTGAATGGGTCGAGGAGAGCGCGCGCGACGCTGAGAATGAGGAATGGGAAGCTGAAAAATTCAACGACCGATTACGATTGCGTTCAAACACGGGCAGAGAAGAAACTCAAAAGATGAGTTTGTTTCTGAGATCCGTGAAAAGAACTGGGAGTGAAGAAAGGGAAAAGGGAAGAAAGGGAGAAGGAAGGAGGATGGAAAGGAATTCCCGGAGTGATGATGATGAAAGAAGGGGGAGGAAACCGGGAAAGAGAGAAGAGAGAGAGAGAGAGAGAGAGAGAGAGCGAGAAAGCTGAGAGAGCCAGAGAGCCAGAGAGACAGTTCGTCTCCATCCAGTCTGGCCCGCCAGCGGCTCTGCGCCAAGCCAATCTTTCAATTCACCCTTCCTCGGTGTGCTTTACACCTTATAATAGTTACAGCGCAAGCAAACAAACAAATTCAACGCTCAATATTTGGAACACAGATATTTTCACCAACGATACCAAAGATTCACTCAATTAAAATATTCATACACTCAACGCCCATTCATTACGCGATGCTGGCGATCTACGGCCCAAAAATGCCATTCCCCAATGGCCATGAAGGCATGCCTAACGCCCATCCCTTCCCAGTTGGCTAAACAACTGTCGACAAGAAAAGCAAAAAAGCAAACACACGGACACAAATAGAGGCGAATAAATGGCAATGTAGGGAAGAAGAAACAAAGGAACAATCCCTATTACCTTGTTCTTACTTGAACCCACGCCAACGTCGTCGCGTCCGATGAGTCTTGACATGCTGCTGGGGAGGAGCACCTTTTCCATCCGAAGTCTCCATTGATGAGTTGGCCACTTGTCCCTCCAGCTCATCCTCCTCTACCAGATCTTTCAGTTCGTCCTCATCTAGTTCGCTTAGTTCCTCACTCATTCCCCGCATAACGTCCCGTCCCGTCCAGCGCTCCTCATGGATGGTGGTCCCTATGGGGTCAAATGGCTGCATATACCATTGGATGCCTCCCTGAGACAAGGGATGTTGCTGATCGCCTGTAAAGCTGTGAGGCGGGGTGCGTGACTGATTCTGAGCGTCGGGCGGTGGGCCTTCACGTTTCGAGCTGTCTAGGTCGGTCTTCTCGACCGGTCCATTCACAGCTGGCTCAACTACTTCCATGGTGGGCTGTGTAGTTGTTGGTGCATCCTCACCAGTCTGGATCTCCGTCTCCTGCACCGCAGTGGTAGGCGTGGATTCTGAGTTGGGTACTGAAAGGGCGGACAATTCAGTAGACTCTTCAGCAGGCAGCGACACTTCTGTATTGGGCTCGACAGCTGCGTCGGCCTTTTCAGGTACTGCGGCGATGTCGGTCCCTTCATCGATCTCCATCTTAGCAGTAACATCTTCAACCCGTGGCTCCGCAATTTGACTCAGATCTTGAGGTTGATCTGCTTTGTCGGTTGCGCTCTGCTCCGCAGAGTCGACCTCGGACCCTCTCCGGGACATGACGCTATTTTCTAGCATGAGATCGAGCTCCTTCAGTTCTTGCTCGAAAGGCTTGCGGTTCAGTTCGCTCTCTTTCCTTATAGCATCTTCCAGTGCCGGCTGAATAGCTTTTATAATGCGCTTAGCCAATTTTCTCTTCTCACGCTGTTCGAGACTGAGTTCGGGGGCACGGCCGCTGATCTGCATCTGTAGCTCTGCAGTGTCCCCAGCTGGCTGAACACCAATCTCCGTGGTGAATTCCCGGGCAAGGTCGGCAGAGAAAGATGCCACCGACGAGTAGTAGCGTTCTTGGAGCTTTGCACGGATAGAGGACAGTCCTTTCTTGAAGATACCTTTGCCATCGAGCCTGCGAAGGACATTAGCAAAGGAAGAATTAGATAATGGAGCCAGCGCAGCTGCTTACCCTTGAGCTTTCTCGAAGATAGGCCAGAGCAAAGGGAAGATAGGGAAGTAGACGGTGTCTACGATGCTCCGTAGAGTTTCCACATCCTTCAGCTTTTCTTGTTCTCGCCTTCTGACTTCGTCGCACAGCGTCCTCAATTTATCCAAATCGTAGCAAAGCCTCTGGCCAAAATCGATGCGCCGCTGAAGTCGCTTGCTGCCGGTCACCCCCATCGCAACATAATCTCTCCTGGTCATCTCCATCGATGAGAAGGTCTCCAACTGCAACTGCAGCCGTTTCAGAAGCGCAGCACCTCGTCTCGCTTCGCGTTTAAGGGTCCAGTATTTGCAGGCATCTTCAGCAAATTGCTTCCTCTGCCGTACTCCAAATCGTTGGAGCGAAGCGCCGACCGAGTTTAGGACGACCTGAGGAATCACCGGAGCTCCGGACGGTAGCTTCCAGATCGTTTTAGGTGCAGTCATTCGCTTGCGCTTGTTGCCACCGACAGTAAGCGTAATACGTGGTGTATGTGTCCGGTGCCCGTCGTCCTCTCCATGCTCCCCAATATGGGAGTGGGCGGGTTCCAACGAGAGCGCCGCTGCTTGGCTATCTCCCCAGCGGCGACCCTGCATGGTATTCCGATAGTACTCGATCGCATCGGCCGTAGCGGCATCGGTACCATGCTCCCTTCGCCATTCGGGCGGAACATGCTTATCACAGAAGGCCTTGAGGAGATGGGAGTCCATCACGGCCGGGGTACCATGGCCTGACTTCATTTTCAGATAGAGCTGGGCTCGTCGGGCGCACGTTACGTGGAACGCCAGGTAACAGTTCTTGTTGCTACACTGGATGGATGCACCCATCCTCTGGCGACAGATATAGCAATTGAGTTTCCATCGGCTTCGCGGCACTTTTTCGACGTCAGTAATCGGCTCCATCAAAGATGGGTTGCCGATCGAGACTTCCGGAATCCAGATAGCACACAGAAGATGGGACCATTTCGAGGTGGTCGTCTGTTTGAAGGCGCCCTCGGTGTTCGGACAGAAAATGCAGTTAACAGATCCCCGGCCTATGAGTTGACACTTGCGGCAAAGCCATTGTCCTTCGGGGATAAAAGGAACGCCATAGCACTCTTGATGCACCGCTAGGTCGCATCCATCGCAGAACACAATCGCATTCGAGTTCTCGCAGTCGCCGTCATCACAAATGGCACACTTGCTGTCCTGCTCTTCGCCGGGGGCAGTTTCCCCATTGACCGCGGCGGCGGAGCTCGAACGAGGGCGCTGCGTTTGCGGGGGCTTCGGGTTCGGTTTTGGGATACGCTTCTCCAGGGCATACCATTCCCGTTCAATCTTGGTCATTGTGATTTCAAAGACCGCCGGTTTTATTGGCTCCAGTTGATCTTCCCTCCGTTTCGCGTTGTAGTCTTCCAGCCACTTCTCATCCTGCTCGTCCATATCATACTCCACCCGGCCAACAGCCGCATTGACCTCCCCCTCTGAGGCAACGAGGTTGGTCAGATCTAGGTCATCTTCCTGCGCACACTCTGACATACGAACCAACCGCCGGTCATGCCGCAAAAAGAGGTCGCTCTCTTGATAGCCAACGCTAGCCATGGTACGGTCGACATAATTCTGCTGACCTACACCAGGTTGGTCATAGAAGGTAAATGGATCCCGCAGTCGGAATGTGGGCTTCGGGAGGGTCAGCCTTTCGCGCGGATTGGGACCAGGAGGAGGAACGGCTTTCGGTTGCGGCGAGATGCCCAGAGCATGGAGGATAGCTTCGGGACGACGAGGAGGGCGCCCGGGGCGGCGCTTGATTGGCGTCGGCGAAGTGCCATTGGCGTGCGCTCTAATGAGCTCCGCGATCGGATCCTTGTCGCTACTGTTATCCAGGCCGTTAGGCGATAGGATTTGAGCTATCGAAGCCGACGGTGGAGGGCCATCCACCTCTTCTGCACTGAAAACCGTAAACTTGGTGTCGATATCCAGGTCTGGATGAAACTCCTCCCAGCCGCGTTCTTCGCGTGGTTTGTACCCATCTCCTTGTTGTAACGCAAGTGCAGCCGCGGTCGATGAGCCGAAGCGGCCACGATTCTGGCTCTTTTCTCGTCTCAGACGCGCAGAAGGCGGCGTGGATGGTACAGGAGGTGGCGGCGGCGGCGGCGGCGGCGGAGGAGGAGGCGGTAACTGTACGGGCTGAGGAGGCTCGGGTTCTGGAGCAGGAGCAGGAGCAGGAGCAGGGCGACTGCGGGAGCTTGAGGAATTGCGTCGAGCTGCTGGAGTGGTCTTTGGTTGTCTCGAAGCCGGCTCCTTCACTTCTAGTTCAATATAACGCCCTCCTCCACCGGGACCACCTGGAATATACTTCCGTTTCTTGAGGGGTGGGCCTTCCGAAGTGCTCGGATCCGAGCTCCGCGATGTCTTTAGGGTGACCTTGGTCTGGTTTCTCGAGGATCTACCCGGTGAGGAACGATATTTTGATGACGAGAGCGGCGCCATCTTCCCTGTTCGGTAGGATCTGTGAGATTGGATGAAAAGCGGCGTGTGGTTGTTTGTTGATGGACCCTCGCCCGAGCTCGCCGCTCAGCCTCACCGTGTGTGGGTGTTTTGAGGGAGGGAATTGTCGTAGGAAATCACAACCAACTAAGTTAGACTGCGCCGTAAAGACGAATTATCACCACATCAGATAAGCCAGATAAGTTTAGCATGACTCATCGAAGAGAGGGGTTTCGACTTGTAAGCACGTTAGGACGGGGAGGGCGACAAGCGAGGGGAAGACGCGCGACGACGACGACGACGACGACCGCGAAAGAGACAAGCCAGCGAGCGAACAGCAGTGAATGAATGAATGTCACTCCCTCCCTCCCTCTTTCCGGGCTTATCAAGCCAAAGGCGGAGAGACAGACCCGCCTCTCCCTCTCCCGCGCAGGGGAACTGGAACCTCCGCCGCCGCCGCCCGTCCACGGTCCCCTTCCAGCTGCCCCGTCATTCCATCTTCCTCTTACAATAAATCACCACAATTCTACACGGTTCACCCCGTGCAGGGAGAAAACAAAACTGCTATCTGATCGTGCCCGGTGATCGATCGGAGACAAGCATGAGTGGTCCCGGCGAAGAGCGGTATGTTCTTAGTTCTCTCCATGTCCCAATCTCCCCCTCCCCCTCCCCCCAAAGCAGCTTCCCCAATGCACTTCTCTCCCTGCCCCTCGTGCCAGCAGCATTCTTGGTGGCTGACCCCATCCGACTCACTGTAGCAGTAACTGGCGCGGAGGTCGCCCGTACGAGCAGAACCGCCACGCCGCCCAGAGACATTCCTCCTCCCGAACAATGAGCGCCCATGGCAGCTCGCGAGGAGGGCCGAACACATGGAACGATTCCTCGCGCGAACAGCCTCCTCCTCCTGCTGCTGCTGCTGCTGCTGCCCCCTCTGGACCTCGGCAGGAACAGCACGTTCCCGTGCGAAACTTCAATGCTACAGAGTCGAAGGCGGCTCTCAGAAGAGGTATGCAGAATCTCTCCGCTCGAGTAGCTCTTCGAAAGTGCTATAGCTGACAACCCGCTCTTGCTTGGTTCTGTTGATTCCGCAGGACCCGGAGGTACGCAACCCATCACTATAAACAAATCCCCCCCACGGAACCCATGTCCGGAGTTTTGAACCACAAAACAAGAAACTGACCCGCGCAACCCATCGTCCCAGAACCGAGGCCCTTCTTCTATAAACCGCAAAGCAAGGACACGAACAACAACCGGGCCAGCGGACCCTGGGGTGCTAAACGTACGTTATACAACCTGTAACCAATCTCACCCGCGCAGAAAAATCTACACTACTCCAACTCCCCCGAAATCCATTCTGATGAATTTGTCTAATGCATGAGTCTGAAACAAATAGCGAATCAAATGGCCAACGGCAAGGATTTCTTCCTCGAGCTTCGAAAACAAGTGACGGCTCTCCGCCAGGGCAATCCTGTTGCAGGTGGATGATTCTTCTTCTGTCAAATTCCGTTCCGCCGAAGAGAAATCCTGTTCGGGGGTGTAGCCACAGGGACGCCCGTTGTATAAAAGCCATCGGATGCTTAATTTCCACTCGGAGACGGGGTCATACATTTAAATGTGGTGGAAAAGAACACTCGAATCCTGCTCTTCATGTCTATATGTGAGGAGAAGTGCTAAGTTCCGCTCTGGCCACTGCGCGAGATGACTTGGCACCGTTGAGACTTACCGGTCTGGAACAATCGCAAGCTGGGATGAACAGCGGCGGCCCGGCAAACGATCGTTTCCATCATGCCCCATGCAAGGCCTGTAGGAAGCGGGGAAAAAAGCATTAGTTCTGTTATGAAACCAGGCAATGCATTCAGCTGTGAATCACTCTCAATTTTATTCATCCAATCATGATGCAATGACTTCTTTTTTTCCCATGGCTGTATCGACAGTCTGGAATCGTGAAGATACATAATCAGCCGTAGTGATAAACCCCCATTTTTCAATATACTTACATATGCTCCGATAAGGGAGCTGAAAGACCTGTAATATACGATGGCTATGACTAGTAGTGTACAACAGTGCAAGCGTGATACCCACGGATACACCCTATTATTTTACTCCTTCCCTTCCTCCTTGATCCACCCGCCAGGTCCCCAGAAGCCCCCATCCTTCGCGTCCGAATCGTCAGCAAGAGACCACTTTCTGAGCGCATGCACCGACAGATCCGTGCGCCAGCCGGCCTCGTACATCTCCATCCCCGCCCACGCGATCATCGCCGCATTGTCCGTGCACAGATACGGCGGCGGGGCATAGATCTGGATGTCTTGGAACCCGCGCACGTCCAGGAACGCCCGGAGCACGGTCTTGAAGAACTGGTTGGCCGCCACGCCGCCGCTGATGACCAGCGACTGGACGGGGGTCTCGTGGGGCTTGTCCTCGAGCGCGATGATCAGGCGCGAGGCGATGTGCTCGAAGCTGGTGCGCATGGCCGCGCGGGCCAGGGCCACCCGCTCGCCGTCCGCCCAGCCCTCGCCGGCCTCCTCCTTCTGCTTGATCAGTCGCTCGACGGTCGGTTCGATGGAGGTGAAGCTGAACGCCAGATCGCGGGTGTTGGCGAAGGGGGTCGTGAAGGACCAGCCCCATTCGTTTGGTGCGGGGGCCTGGACCTCGTCGCGCCGGGTCGCTGGAGCCTGGTAGTCGGCGTGGTCGGCGCAGCCGTTGGGGAACGCATATTGCTCCAGAGCTTTGGCGTACACGGAGTGCTGGGCCGTCTCGATGACCGAGTCCGGCAGGATCAGCCGCGCGGCTTTGTCGAGGGCGGACCCGACCGCGATGTCCAGCGTCGAGGCCAGGATCTCGTGGTTCGTGAGCGAGGTGGATTTCACCAGCATCGTGTGGCCGCCTGAGGCGAGGATGGAGATGAACGGGAACGCGGGCTTGGCCTGTTGGGCCTGTTGAGGGACTCCGCCGTCATGATGAGATCGGGCGTGCTCGGGGTCGTTCTCTGGGTTTTGATCCAGGAAGTATTGAAGGTGCGGTGTCACCAGATGAGCCTGCATGTGATGCACACCGATGAATGGAACCTGCCATGCCACGGAAAGTGCCTTCCCCGTATCCAACCCAACCAAGACATTGGTCCTCATTCCGGGGCCCCGCGTGGCGCACACGATGTCCGGTTTGCGTCGCGTTTCGTTGCCATTTGACAATGTGACTAGCTTGGGGAGGGGGGTATCGGCGGAGGGAGCCGGTGGTAAACTGGTGAGCGCCTTGTTGACGAGCTTCGCGAGGTTTTCTTGATGGGACTCGAGTGCGACAACCGGATGGATGCCCTTGTACGCCGTGGAGTCGCATGTTACTTTCTCATGGAAGTGGATTTTCGCATAGCCTTCCTTCTTTTCGACGATCGCAACCGAGGTGTCATCGCTACGTAAAGGCCTTTTGTCAGATTACTGTACTTCATCCTATGCGGCAGAACAGGGACCTTGAACGAACCAGGACGTCTCGATAGCGAGAGTGAGCAGCCCACGAGCGCGAGGCAGAACACTGCCCCTGGCAATGGCTCCCACGCTTCGCCGTAACGTGACAGGAGATATTCTCGTAAGTATTGACATGGGGGAACTAATGTGAGCAACGCATAGGACAAGTCAAGATTCTATCGCCTGTCGGCGGCGAAAGAAGCGGCCCGGAGGTTTCCTCGCACGGGCCACAGGAGCCCTGAAATGCTGCCCTAACGGGACCGAAGAGGAAATATGTCTGGCGGTCACTCAATAGCAATAGGAACCATTCTACAATTGTGGTCCAGACAAGTCTTAATTCATATGGAGAGATAATGACTGTATGGAGCTTAAACGAATGTAATTGGAATACTCCAGGATATGCCCGTATGCTAAGTAATTGGTCGCCAAATCATATCATCACGTCATAATCATAACAGAAGTCATATACACGCTGAGAGACTGCACTTCAACTCCCTCTTTCGGGTTGCATCAAGCTCATATACCCTACCAACCTTGAGATCTGATGGCCACAAGATGACATCAGATCAATGCCATGACCCACCCTTGCCCCTAATGTACAGAATCGGCATGTCGAAGTGGTGTCGGGGTTGGGTATGGGAAAGCTGTGCGCAAGGTCGAAGCCAAAGCCTTGATCTCACGTTGACCCTTCTTGGTGAGCATTTCTTGTCCCTATGCTCACGCTGTACTATTCATCTAGAAGCTCAAGAAGCCCAATTGAAATCGTGTCCAGTTCAATCCCGCACAACCCAGCGTCGTTCCTCCCGCGACAATTTGGTGTAGGTGCCGTAATACTCTTCTGGATTCTCAATCGGTGTCACGCAATGGACAGTCGGAGTGCCCTTGAACTGAATCCGTTTGTCCGAAGAACTGGGGGCACCTGGTGCGGAATGTTTCTTGAGAATGCTTTTGGAGGTGCAGGAGTTGTTGTAACCGAAGGACGGCACCTGTAAGGTTGAGAATCGCTTTGCGCCTGGGCTCGCCGGGGAGATTGGCGTTCGGGGAACAGCGCCAGGCGATTTCAGAGGGAACGACGAACGAGAGGCATTCTGTGCCGCAGAGATGCTTAACGAAAGCTTAGGCCGAGCGTACATCTTGAATGATAATTGACAGACGAGGGATAGAAGGTGGTTCTGTTCGTGCGAGAGATGTAGAGGATGCTCTAAAATTCAAAACGATGAGCGCAGTGAACCGATTGGCAGCAGAACTTTGATCAACAAAGTGTCCACTAAAGCAGGCGTGTGAATGATACTATTATTATTTATTGACGTCAAGGAGGAAGAAGCGAAGAAAACAAATAGCTTGCTTGGGCCAGCCAAACGAACTAGACAGAGACAAAAATAGAATAGAAAGAAAAACTGCACAACCTCAAACAGACGGCGTGTCAGGAAAGAGAAAGGGTTGGAATGCAGGCGACTGCTGAGCGGCTATATAGCTGGTCGGTGGCCTTCAGTCATCCAGGGGAGGGTAGAGAATACTGAGAAGGGAAGATGGAGAGAAAGAGGCTTCAGGCATGAGGGGGAGTCAAGGTGGAGGCGGGGCCAATCGCCGCCGCTCATCACACTCTAAGCGCCCAGCAACTGCACAACCAAGCACATCACCACTCCTCCATCACGCACTAGTACTTACTCCTTGCCACCAAGTCAACTAAAAGTGTGACCGGCCGATGATGGTCTGTGCAAGGTTCCTATTCGGGAGTCGAGTCCGCGAAGTCCCTAGATCAACCAGTCGAATTCCCGATATGCATACGAGGACATGGGATGGATGTCAGCTCTGCAGAACCAGAAACAACGAATAAAATTGATTTTCGTCCTATAAACTTTGGGGTGGTTGCTCGGTGTTGTTACACCTGCATAACAGGCACATCAACATCACACCCTTCCATGTAATGGTTGGGTTCTGTGACCCATCACTTGTCCTTCCCGCATAAATCCCATGCATAACCAAGCAGAAACTAGCATGCCGGCATGATTACTGCCACTATTCCTCACGACGCGCAGAACCAGCTTGGTTTGCTGAGCCAGAGATAGCCTGGGGACTCGTGAATCTCTCTCCTATTCCGAGGTAGCTCTTATCGGGTCTGTGTCTCTGCATCGAACGGACAATTTCATGCACTGTGGTAGGAAGAGAACGGCTTCACGTATATCCCGTAGCTGTGTAAAGGATCCCTGCTGCCCTTGTCATTACCTGTTGTGTGGTCGGGCACTTTCCTCGCTCGCTGAAGCAAATGATGGTTGCTGATTCTAGCATGAGAGGTCGGTTTTGTCGTCCAAGGGTCACGTTCATCCACCAACGTGTTAAGTAGCTGTAGAGTTGAAGTGAGCCTGCTCGGATGGCATGGAACGGGTCGAATGCATATGTAGACGCACATTCATTGCGATTAACCAACCCCATCAACCATGCTGATCTTCACCAGAGGATTCGGAAGTTGTCCGCCTGAACAACACCCGAAGCTGAATTCTCGATGTACTTTTCTGTCTCGGCTCCTCATCTATGACCGTTTCATCATCGCGGCCCACCGTTCTGTCTTCGTCCAAAATGTATTTCCACTTTCCATCCGGCGTCTCCAGTCTATCAAGCTTATACCTCTTGTCGAGATCTGCAAAGTGCTTTCGTCTTTCATCGTCACTCCATGCATATGTGCCCTTGAAATCATCCAAGATCCGGCTCTGGGTAATCCAAGGCATGATGGAGCCGATAGATCGTGGAATACGTGGGAATCGGAACCGATATCTTCTGGTAATGAAGACTGATGCCACAATACAGGCGTCAAATACCACTATTAGCATGACACAGATGAATGACAGGACAGATGGGTAAACCGCCCAAGACATATGATATATGATGCCATTAGAGATGTGGGCGGGAGTATCGAGGTGACGAAAATAAGCGTCTCTCTTGAGGGAGAGATCGGTTGCAAACATGGACCGGTAGACCGAGCGGGCAGCAGTTTTGAGTACACCGACGTCGATGTCTGATGTGTTAGAGTTCATCAATTCGTAAAGACTCACTGTCAGGCTGCCGAAGTAATCAACCTGAGCGGAAGCATTTTGATCCTGGAACGAGCCGTTTGAAAGGACAGGACTAGATAGTCTGTGGTTGTAATTAATCAGATTTGAGGTCCCGTTCTCTAACATCGGACCATCGGCAATAATGGTATCATTAAGTGGTATATGGTTCTGTATGAAGCCTTGCGAATTCCAGGCCACTGAAAAGTTCTGCATGACGATGAACGATTCGCAAATCATCGCGACTGTGTTGGCACTTGTTATCTCGGTATGATCGCTGTCGCTTGGCTGGGCGACCACCAATACAGCTGGCTTATGGCAACCTTCAACTGCTTCGGTAGGTGTTGAAGCGTAAAAGTTGACCAACATACTGACATCCTCCACGTTGTTCGTATCTCGTATTGCGTTGATTTCGCATGTTATACTCGACTCGTTGATTGGAGAATACCTCCAACGGCCAACATTGGAGCCAGGGTCTTGGGTAAAGTTATCCGCAACCGATAGCCCTCGACAGAGTATGTCAGCACCCACACCCCGCAAAGAACCACCGATAAGCCAATCTGAAGAATTGTTTGTCCAGGCTGGAAGAAAGGAGTGGCTGGAAGTTGTCCATGGTAGCAGGGAGGAGCCACTGTAGATACTCGTCCGCATGGTATCGAGTTCTGGAAGCACTGACGATGGTTGTCTGATGGCGAATGACTCATAGCTATACCAAGTCTTTAAATCAGTATCTGCGGTTGTCGGGCCAAGGTCATGATGAAACAATCCGTTGACTAGAACACTAAGTCCGGTGTTGACAATGCATGCTACTCCCACAAGCCCGAGTAGGATATGGTTATAATTAAACCAATTGAAGAGTGAGGCGAATGGGTTTAAAGACCCATACTCAAGCAGTAGAGATGAGGCAGCAGATGCTCCTCCCATCTGAAGGACAGACCATGGTTCCAGAACGCTCAAATAACGGTATATTGAGAGGCAGATCGCACGTATGATAGACGCGATCGATGATGGAATCAGGGAGAAAAGAACCCCTATGCTGCTTGAACTGACGAAGGTCAATGGAATAACATATCCATTTTTTACACACAATGCGATCACAGTTGCAAGACCAGCAACTGCCGCGGCAAAGATGAGAAATTCAAGGCCAAAGATCGGGATCAGGAGGAAATGAGGTCGTGGATCAGACCGGGCTTTTGCAGCTTTTCCTGGGGAGCGAGGCACTGTTTGAAGTCAGTACCATATTTTGACAATATGAGAATCATGACATACCCTGCGAGGGCTCGATGCAGATACAGGGAGGTTCTCTGTCCTGTTGCCAGCGACAATTGTAATTTTGAAGGATAGATCTCAACTGCCTTGTCGACAATTCATCAAGATTCATATGCGAGATATGCGAGATATCGATAATGTCTGCCATGATGCCACACATCGACGCAATAGATGCAGGATCGCCTCGAAGCAGGTTTGGCCGGCGTGGGTAAGCGTAGGCCAGGTATAAAATCACTATCACGCTCAGCGAAAGTATCGCCTCAGACATAAGGGACTGCCACGGTCCAACCATGATAGCCATTTGATGTGTCACATGAGACGCTTGGACATAATTAGATTGAGCGCAGACGTCGAATATTCGGTTCATCAACGGTACGAAGGCTTTTTCAATGCCCCTGTTGAGTCTCGAGATTAGTTTATCTTGAGAAGCAGACAGTCCGACCGATTCCCTGTTCAAAAATGAGGTGCCGTTGTTTGCGAGTACTTCTGACAAAATAAGGTTTTTGAAATGAGTGGTGTTCAGGGATACCCCTGAAACATTGCTCATAGTATCTGAATGCAATGCGGTGACGGACAATGATCCATTAGCTTGTAGTGAAATGCTGGCCTCTGAGGTCCGGTAGAGAATCTGGCAGCCAAAGCCGCTGACATTATGCGTGTAGTCAGAGCCCTGTAAATTCGACCAATTGCTGCTGATATTCTCGGTAGTTTGATTCAGACTGATTTCAAGAACGATACCCACAAGGTCAATAGCAGCGCACGTATCATCACGGTCTGATGCACTTAGAACTGGCTGCCAATGCGATATCTGCAATGAACCATTGGTGGATGGTATGGAGATTGCTTCACTCAAATGCATCGAGCAATTTTCTGAAGTTGATGATGTAATGGACATGTCCCAAACGGCCGATCGATCATATAGCGAAGCTGCCTGAGAGCCGGTTCGATTCGTCAAGACATCGATGACCAGATCATCCTCCACTGTCAAATCAATACAAGACAGCTCTGCCCAGTAGACGGACTGGGTGAGTTCCCACTTCGCCGTATCATACTGGACATCCCAGGGAATATTCACGGGCGCCATTGCATACTTAGCTGAGTCCGGTTCATCGTAAGTCAGATATCGGTGATCCCGAGAGGCTGTGTGATTCACTGTTGAGTTATATGACACGGACGCTTGCCCTTCCATATCTATCAACTCCGGCCATATCTCGAGATGTTGACTGCTGTAGACTGTGGCGTCGTCCATTCTGAACAGACTGCTCTGGAGTGAGGGGAAAACCAGTTGCAAGAGGACACTCAAGATCGAGATGAAAACTGCCATCCAGTGTCGATTCCTGAATGCGAAGAATGGGGCGGTGGTAAAATGGCCGAACTCATAGTTCAGCAAAAGTACCTCGGCCGATACTCCGTTTGGCTTAGAAAGTTGAAAATATGGCTCCAAACGAAGAGCATCATACTCGACGACAGACCATAGGATGGCCACAATCATGCCCAAGATGCTCGGAACATAAGTGAAGATGAATTTTCGAGCAATGGTGATCTCATCGGAGTCAGTGAAGATATCAAGTCCGCCTGTGTCGTTACCCCACTGCCGAAGTACTTCTGTGACAATCACCATGGACACCATTAGGCCAGCCAAGGGGAACAAGTACCGACGACGCAAAGTCTGAGGCAGCCATCCTGAATTCCGAGTCTGAGGAACATGCCCAGTAGTTTGTGACATCGTTCAACTTAGCAGTCTCGAATCAACGTGGTATCGATAAGCGGAGTGCTGGTGGGCATCGAGAGCGAGCCAGTACAAATTCAGGACCGAATCCACATGGCTGACCGTCGGAGTGTCAAGATCAGATTTTTGGGAGCATAACTGATGGCATAGCCATTTGAAACGTCTAGTCAATTGATTATCACGACAATTTAATGCAGCAACCGATCTATGAAGAAGATACAACCAGGTCCCTTCTCAAAGAAAAGCCCATGGCACCATGTAAAAGTGAGGTTGACGGAAACGAGATAAGGCCGAACTGGGCTGTGTCCAGGGAAATCTGGCCAAGCGCCGAAGAGACCTTAGATAAGTCTCAGGATGGGCGGGTGGGCTGCGTGACGCCTTTAGGATACTATTGGTGCACTCCTGCGTGGATCCCGCCGGGGCTAGTGATGCGTAGCTGTGAAATTATGCGATGATGATGAGCGGGCCGCGCATCTTGCCCAGAAGGCTATGGCTTCTGAGAGGGTGGTAATGCGATTATCTAGACCATTAGTGCTCACCTTAGCAAATATGAATATGGCGGTATGGTACTGAAGTCATAGTCCTAAGGGGTCGAACTGATAAAGACCTTAGTTTGAGGGGACCTAATCCATTTCTTCGCCACATGTTTCGACAGGGGTTGTGGGTCGCGGGATTCGGTTTATTCAGGAATCGCCTGAATTGAAGGAACAAGCATTTCGGAAAGAGAAAGCGGGAGACAGTGATTGAAAATGAACACGGGCAGACAGGGGTATCAATCATTGATTCGTTATGGTATGCACCCCAGGTCAGTCCTCTTGACAAACAGTGATGATCAACCCGAATGCTTCAATGCATTCAAGCAGGCATCCTCACTTCAGATTGTTTATTTGGAGGGTATCTTTGAGTCTGCCCAACTTCATTAGCCTCGCGGAACATGCTGCACCCGCTAGAATCTGCCAGCAAGGTTTAAGTTCGACACTCATGCCTCTGAAGAAGGTCTGGATGCATGCTCGAGGTAGTCTTGCTTACACTGGCCCAGTCAAGTTCCAACGACTGAATACTGTGGCTTGATGACCACAATGCCATGATCGCCAGTGTGTTTTTTTAAGCTTGGCTTAGCTTGGATGGGGAAAAGGTCCACTCCCGGTGGCCTTGATCATGCTCTCAGCCCAGGTCTCCAATCCCTGCTTTTGTGGAAAGTCGACGGGCTGTTGTACTGCATTGCTATCCATGCTGATGTGCTTATGCTTTCAGATAAAAACCGAATCAAAGCCGGTAGGCCGTCATGGGATCTGGCGACCAGAGCTACCGTCACGGGTGCTTAATGTAGTTGCTGGAAGCCGGCAACACTCATGTTGGTGTTGACCTTTACATTGGACAGCCAGCCATGCAAACAGATCAAAATCCATGGGTCAGGCATCCAGAATGACAGCGAACGGCAGCCACGGTCGGATGCGACTCCCCCAAAAGCCTCAATATCTCCCCCATCGAATGTGCCACTTTTCAGATCTCTGGTGCCCTGGTTTAGATTTCATAAGGCCCATTATACATCACTTTCTGGATCCATGTTTTGAGGTTGACCAAAAGGCCTCGATCGCGAACCGAACAAGGCTGGACAAGGCTGGACAAGGCTGGATCGGGTGACGTCAACAGTCTCATTTTACAGTCTCCTTAAACTAGTGTTCCCAGGCATCCGGCCCGCAGAGAGCCAATTCGAATGTTGAAACAAAAACCCAGTTCACAAACGTCCCTACATCTTTACAACTTATATCGTTGCTTGCAATTGTCGGTCTTTCAACACAATGGGCGGTCTCCAAAATCTTCTGGAGCCTGGAGGTAAGTTATACCCAGGGATCGCCGCAGCCATCCGAATAGTGACTAATGTATATTCTACAAGTACAGCGATCGTCGCGGTTTTCACTACGGGAACTTTGATAAACCGACGCAGGCATGTCAGATCGCCGGAAATCCCCAGTGTTGAATCACCGTTGCTTGCGGATGGTCTTGAGGACGTGAAGCCAAACACAGACGACGAACGTTCGCTCCGCAACCGCCGGACACCTCAGTCTCGTCTTCTAGCACATTTTCCCTTCCTGCTGGAAATATTGTACTGGCTGCTCACATACTGGGTATGATGTGCTCACCCATATATGTAAGGGACGCAATCTAACTGAAGACTCAAGATCTACCAAGGGCTGCGGGCGTTCTCTGCTCGAATGATTGCCGGCCACAAGGAGATCTTCGACACAGCTGAGCGCCATGCTATTTCGATCCTTCACCTAGAGCATTTCCTCCACCTTGACGTCGAATTGTCGGTTCAGAGATACATCCTCAACGAGATTCCGTGGCTCATGCCCTTTTTGGCGCGTGTATATTACTCGCACATCGTTCTTGGAGTGGTATTTGTGGTTTATTGCTATACCTTTGTTCAGCGTGACAGATACCAGGCGCTCCGACGCACGTTGGCATTTGAGAATGTCATTGCCTTTACGATCCTTACTCTGTGGAGGTGCATGCCCCCGCGTCTCCTACCCGAGGAGTACGGGTTTGTCGATGTCCTACACAGTAACAAGGGCGGTTCGGCTTGGACGCAGAACAAGTTCCAGCTCACAATCGCAGCGATGCCTTCGCTTCACTTCGGAAACTCCATGTTCATTGCGCTGTGTCTGCTCAAGTTCAGCCCTCATTGGTACCTGCGAATGATCGCGCCGTTGTGGCCCATGATGATGGGTCTCACGATCGTAGCGACCGCCAACCACTTCATTTTGGACGCTGTCGTTGGTGCATGTGTGGTACTCACTGCTTTTAGGTTCAACCGCGTCATGCTGGGTCTGCTGCCGATAGAGAGAGCGGTTTTTAGATTGCTTCGCCTAGAGAAGCCTTGAGCTTATAGAGGGCGATGGGATGATTGGGTTAGCCATTGGACTCGAGACCTATATATTTTTAAGGATACTTCGTCTTTCCGTGATGCGGCCATCAATATGTATGAGTATCGCACTCACGAACAGAACTTCAGTTACGAACTCACCGTGTATAACAAGAAGATAGACAGTGATTCCTGCATTTGAAAACTGGGTAGACTAAGTAGCTTGGTAGTCCTGCAGCTAAGCATTGCCAAGACTTGAAAATCTCATAAGAAGTGATATAATATCAGGAACCTTGCGAGTGACGTGAAGTACAGTACTCAGTACATGTGCGGCAGATAATAATGTGGATCATATAGCCTTGTCGACAGACGATTTGCGACCTGGATGTGAAGCTCTCGTTTAGTCAGCTCCAGCCATGCTGGAATATATAAACCCAGGTCATCTCGAGGCACCGAATACAGTACAGTATTCGTCGCAGGCCAATGCAATGCTAATTCGCACCCCATCATCTCATGGACAAACTCGAAATCCGATGGTTTCGGACTTGAGCCACCTTCTGCTAGGTACTAGTAGCCGCCGAGCGCGGCTTGGTTCTCCTTAAAATGACTGAATCAAGAAGGTTAAAAAAGCCATCATGTCGCGTGATATAGCCCAAAGAGGCAAGTCAATGACACGCCGCGCAAAACAAGACGAGATTTAGCTGCCACGGACTCCCCGAGTCCCGAGTCCCCTAGCTGAGGTAGGTTGGAAGTAGACTAATTACTAGGTACCTGTTAGGAGCAGCCCGCCGCGGCACTTGCATGTACTGTACGTAGTACGGTAGTAGACTACTCTCAAGGTTGCACGGTAGCTAAGCAGGGACCTCTTTCCCCTTCCCCTCCGCAGGGATCCCGTCCGGCATTGATAGGTAAAACTACTACAGAGTACACTAGTCTCTTTATGTGCCGGTGGTGAAAATCGATGGGAATGAGTCAATGGGATTGCGTACAGTACATGCTAGGGTCAGAGATAGATGCGATGCTTGAACTGACCTCGGAGCTACTCCGCAAGCATTAGACTAATAGTGAGCCCTCCGTCCCCCCCCTGCACAATTGCCATGATCACTGCATAATCAAAATATGTATCGGGAGTAAATGAGCCTTAGCTCCGGAGCAGAAGTGTCCCCGTATTCCTTGGCTGGCTCAGGACTCGAGCTGTTCGGAGCAACTGCGACAATTCCCGACAGAGTGCTACGCGACAGAAGGAAGAGCTCTGGCCATTCCAGTTGTTCAAAGTTACTGCCGCCAGCCCGGGATTATTTGGAGACAGGAAGGGTGATGACCATTGCCTGCCTGCTCAGTGCTGGATACTTCGTTCGACCTCTGACATCAACCCCGGAATAAATCGCGAACAAAACTTTGAGCCCGCTACTCCGTACCCAGCTGGCACCGACTTACGGGGTAAAAGCAATTTCTTAGGTAAGAACAACCCGCCCTGCAACAACCTCGTCTTCTTCCGACGTCCCGCCGCGTTAAGACTCCACCGACTCCGGACCCTCCTTCTCTGGTGGGCAAATCACTTCAAGGCTCTGGTCGCTCATTCGCGGGTCCCTCGAAAATCAATCGGGCCGATGGTGTCTGTGCCCCAGTGTCGAACGAGAATGTCATGTGAAATGGGCATTTGAATTCATTGCCTTGTTGAAGGGCTGAGTGGGTAAAATTTGATTCTCTTACGAGGGTGGAAAGTTCAATACGTGTACGGAGTACTGGAGAGTGGCCGACCGGACCAAAAGTTAACATATCGCCCTACCGTGCGGCGGCTGCCGATCCACGCCTGGAATTTCACATCCGAACATTGGCCACCTGCGCCGAGATCGGGTACTGGGCTGTGGCCTGTGGTCCTCCAGACTCATACCATTGTTCTCTGCACACATAGCGCATATCAATCATACTCCGACCTGTGCGAGGTGCCGGAAGTAGTAGAGGAAATGAAGTCAGTGGTTTGAGAAGGAAATAGCTATCTTTCGAAAGGATTCGATCTCCTTCTTCGCACAAGGCAGTTTTTGAATACGCATGCATTATGACCAACCTCCTCCGTCTTGATAAAGCATCATCTTCCACGTTGGAAGTGTTTTGCTTCAGGTCGCTGTGTTGCCTTTGTTGGGTTTGGGCCCCAGGCCCCAGGGGTCGATGGACATCGAGTCCCGGGTGGCCAGTCAAAGTCCCGGTGTTACCGTGTGGTACGCCCCCATGGAAAACCGGGTGGTCCATGGCCATGGCAAAATCCGTGAGGGGCGCTTGGCTGGTCCCTTGGGTCTTTCGCCTCCGTCTATTGTTTTGAGTCACTTTGTTCGCCAGGGCTGGGAGGCAAAGTGAAGGATCTGACAGTTGATCTGTGCTTAAATTGGAACCTTCGAGGACAAAGCCACCAAGAATTTCGATGGAACAAGCACAGTAGGGCATCAAGATATGGAGATCTGGTAGACCAAAGGGGCTCGAATTGCCGCCGGAGATAAGCCTGCGTGCGTGCTTGCGAGAGCCACCCTGGCCCAGCTGACCCGCGCTCGGCCTCAACTCCGATGGCACCCCCCAAAGAGAGAGAGAAGGAGGGAGAGGGAGGTTAAAGGCCTCATCGGGCCGGTTAATTACCAGATAGAGACCAGAGGCGGTGAGGGCTGCTGATGAGCGATTCGTCACTAGATGTTGTGAATTTGTGAGTAACCAAAAGTCAGCAGAGTCTTTTATCCGATAGTCAATAATAAAAGCATGCATGAACAAAAAAGGAACTATGGGGGAGAAAGAGGAGAAAAGAACGCAATGAAACAACTGTAAACACTACTCCATAGACACTAGAAATTAACTAGATAGAAGACTTTGCACACTTCTTCTCCAACTTGCCATCCACAATTTCCAGCTGTCACATCTATGATTCACACTCCAGATTCAGCATACTAATTGATCGATCAACCACTGTTTGGGCTTTGGAGCATTTCTCCCCCGTTATTTTTGTCTGGTCTCCCCGTCTCCACTCACTTTTCTTATCCCCAGCCCCTTCTTCCTCCGACTTCTCCCTTCACCACCTGGGTTAATCACCCTCTTGTTGTTCAGCTTCTTTGTTGGCTTGATCGGCGCATTCTCTCTTTTGGGATTTGAATCGATTGTTTTTGGTTTCATTTCTGTCTCTTTTGCATTTCACAATGACCAGCGTGAAGGACGCAGTCAAGGAGTCCTTGGTCGGCAGCTCTTCGGAGCCTCAGCCGTCGCAGCAGATCAAGAGTCATTTCCTGCGCCACGCACGCAAAGATGAGGCATCAGGAGATCTTTACATGTCGGAGGACGACTTCATCGATGCGATCGCTCCCAAGCACGAGGACTATGTAAGTAATTCGAATTTCGCCGCGCATTCTGTTTGTTGTGAGCCTTCGCTTTATGTGTCATACGACTAGCCGTGATCCGAGCTCTGGCTAATTGACGGATTCTCTTCGTGAAACCGCAGCACAAGATCAAACGCGAACACTATGGGATTCTGTTTCTCGTTGCCGACAGGCGGAGAACTGGAAAGCTCACTCTCGCCGATTGGGCTACCTTCGAGAACCTCCTGGGCAAACCGGACGCCGAATATGAAATTGCCTTCCGCCTCTTTGATACAGAAGGAACTGGCTCGGTGAAGTGGGAGAACTTCCAGCAATTGTACAACCTGAACAAGACTAGCGACAGCATACCTTTCGATTGGAACTCAGAATGGGCCTCCCTGTACACTGGACGGACAAAGACCAGACATGATATGACGTATCCCCAGTTCGCTCAGATGCTTCGCGGCCTGCAGGGCGAGCGCATCAGACAGGCCTTCCACGTGTTTGACAAGGACGGTGATGGTTACATCGAACCCGAGGACTTCCAGCGTATCATTCTTGAGACGTCGAAACACAAGCTGTCCGACTATGTTCTCGAGAATCTCCCCAGTCTGTGCAACATCTCGACTGGCACAAAGATCTCCTATGCTACCGTTCGTGCTTTCCAGAACATCATGCGCGAAATGGACATGATCGATGTCATTGTCCGCGAAGCGACCAAGAAGAGCACCGATGGCAAAATCACGCGCGCTGATTTCCTCAACGAGGCTGCCCGCGTCACTCGCTTCTCTCTGTTCACTCCGATGGAGGCCGATATCTTGTTCCACTTTGCTGGACTGGACGCGCCTTCGGGACGCCTTTCGCAGAAGGACTTCGCCAAGGTTATTGACGCTTCATGGCGCATGCCCTTCGCGGTTGCTGGTCAGGCGGCAACGATCGCCTCGGACAAGGCTCATCAGGTGGCTGACAAGACCAAGTCGGTCCTTTACAGCGTGCTCGAGTCCGTGCACCATTTCGCACTCGGCAGTCTTGCGGGTGCCTTCGGTGCCTTCATGGTTTACCCCATTGATCTCGTGAAGACTCGCATGCAGAACCAGCGATCAACCCGTGTGGGAGAGAGACTCTACAACAACTCGATCGACTGTGCCAGGAAAGTTATTCGGAACGAGGGTTTCCTCGGACTGTACTCTGGTGTCATCCCTCAATTGATTGGTGTTGCTCCCGAAAAAGCCATCAAACTGACGGTGAATGATCTTGTTCGTGGACATTTCACCAACAAGGAGAATGGAAAGATTTGGACCGGCCATGAGATCCTGGCCGGTGGTACTGCAGGAGCCTGTCAAGTTGTAAGTTTGAATCTCCTAACAAGTAAGCTATATTGATCAGTGGGCTAAACGATTTCCTCTAGATCTTCACCAACCCCCTGGAGATCGTCAAGATTCGTCTGCAGGTTCAGGGTGAAATTGCCAAGTCCGTCGAGGGTGCTCCGCGTCGCTCTGCCCTCTGGATTGTGAAGAACCTGGGTTTGGTCGGTTTGTACAAGGGTGCTAGTGCCTGTCTGCTTCGCGATGGTGAGCCTCGGTTTATTCGTCTCCTTCCCAATCCGCTAGTGCTGACTTGGATACTTCAGTTCCCTTCTCCGCAATCTACTTCCCGACATACGCTCATCTCAAGTCCGACTTCTTCGGGGAATCCCAGACCAACAAGCTTGGTGTTGTGCAATTGTTGACTGCCGGTGCCATTGCTGGTATGCCTGCTGCTTATCTCACTACGCCTTGCGATGTCATCAAGACCCGCTTGCAGGTGGAAGCCCGTAAGGGTGAAGTCGGATACACCGGCCTCCGTCATTGCGCCGCCACCGTCTGGAAGGAAGAAGGTTTCAAGGCCTTCTTCAAGGGTGGCCCTGCCCGTATCCTTCGTTCCTCCCCGCAGTTTGGTTTCACCCTGGCTGCATATGAGGTCCTCCAAAAGTTGCTTCCCATGCCCGGCGATCACGAGGAGGTCTCTCCCGCTGGACACGTCGAGCCCGGCGTCGGCCTGACCACTGCCACGGCACCGCTTCCCTACCTCCGATCCAGAAATGCTCTGAAGCTGATCTTGGACCTCGACGAGAACATTGGCCGCGTTCGGGTCCCCACCGCAGAGCGCTGGCCCAAGTTCCTGCAACCATCCCAGCAACAATAGACACGTACGACCTTTGTTTACATAGCGATGAATGGCTTTCTCTTTCTAATTTCCCCTTTGTCTGAATGAAAATAGTGTTTGTTTCCCCCCACTGCACCATTCAATTGCAGCCCTTTCCGTTGTCACTGATTCTTTTCTTGGCCTGGTTGGAACAATGACCGCTTCTTGTTGGATCCCCCAAGTCCTATGTCCACACTACTACATGTAACAAAAGCAGATAGACTCGAGAGGAGACTCTTGTTACCAGACCGCTATTTGGGTCTCTAGACTTTTTCCTTATTGACCTCGCCGACGTCTGCAGTCCTTCAGTGATTTCCACATCTGTTGCCTGTTCCTCATTCTACATACATAAGTGGGCGTCACATATCGGTGTACAGGTACCTCATTTGGTCATCTCTATCTTGAAAAATCATGCAACTAGAAGGTTTCGAGAATACATTGTGATCATACTGCCTCGTGGAAACTGTCCATCATTGGTTATACTTCGTCCTCGCCACCCGAATTTATCTGCAATAGGATAAGGGGTATATGGTAAGTTAAAATACAGGACCGTCATGACTGCGGACTATAGGTACAGGGAACTTCGCATTAAAACTGGTCTTTAAGCTCGCCGGTGAGGCATGTGAGGGTACCCGACCAAATGATTTGTGGTTATGGTGACAGGGGAGTGATATCACTAGGGAAACCCGACACAAGGAAAACGAAATGCCTCCTTCTCGATCTGTATATGTACATAGGTCGTGCGGAATTGACCGTAGAAACGTGTCGGGTGTAAGTGCAGGCGAGAATATCATCAAGGGCTTGCTTATCAAGACACGGATCAAATCGACCTGCATTACAGATGTCAGCCACGTCATGACGTTAAAACGTAGACCAATTACCTACACATCTTTCGACCATGCTGAGAGTGGTTCAGGCATGCTTTTTTATCACAAGACCACCGTTGGCAGAAAGGCCATGCCATGCCACGGGTGACATATCGGTGGGCGGCGACCTTGGCCTTGCATCATCCGTCTTCGAATCGACAGAAGCTGCTTCAGAAAAAGTTGAGCTTCCTCTTCGTCTCCGAATTTGCGGCCGGTTCTGCATTCGTAGGGGTCTCGGCAGGTATGACCGGATCCTTTGCGACAGGCTTCGCCGTCTCTTCCTTCGCCTTCGGGGGGGTTTGCGCGGAGTCGGGTGTGGTGGATTTGCGATGCCACAGTGAGTCTTCATCTTCAATCTCACGAAGAACTATAGAACGGGGGACAACCAAAGTCAGCCGATGCCAAAACTTTCCCTCCCTCGAAGAAGGGGAGAATATCAAGAAAGGGAGAGTGTAACCGACCTTCCTCCCACTCTCTCTCCTTGGCCTCATTGCCCGTTCCAAGAAGCTTCTCCACGTCCACCACCTCCCCATTGTTGACCTTCTCGATCACCTCCCGCAGGAGCCGGATCTTCGCATCCGTCGACCGGCTGTACGCGGCATAGTCGTTCTTGAGCGCGATCATGCGGATGGCCTGCGATCCGATGAGGATGAAGATGATGATGTAGAAGCTGGCGGGGTTCCATTCCTTCGACTTGGGCGTGTAGGGCTGGCCTTTGCCGGTGAAGCGGTTGCGGATGAAGGCCGGAATGAACGTGGTCCATACGTCTGCGTGCGCGAATCGGGGTATGAAGCGGGAGCCGCCGCTGGAATACGGGCGGCTTTCGTGTAGTAGTTGTGATGTTGAAGGTGACGACGGGAATCGGATCTGCGCAGCTGCAGCTGGTGGTCGGCGGATGGGGTGGGTTCTGGTTGACGTTCGGAGGGCGAGTCGGGCGGGATTCATGATTATTGAGGCCATGGGCTCAAATGAGATGTGCCTTGCGACAGCGGAGGTTTGACGAGGTCAATTCGGGTCATTCAAAGGCGATTCCCGTTGGAATTCTATCCAAGTCCCGGGTACGTACCATGTACTCGATGCCTGAGGCCGATTCCGCAGTCGGCGGGCACGAATCTTACGCTAAGCCTGTCTGGGAATGGTGGAGGGGGTTGTTGCCGCGACAACGCGGGTTTGCTTGGCTTGCCCGTTCGGATGTCATAACCACATCGGAGTGAGTGAGGGCCAGGCTCGATCTTCCATCTTCGACTGACAGACGCCAATTCCGCAGACAACAGTGTCTGCAGAACACTCCCGACCCCCCCTCTTTCCCCCCCGGCCAGCCATGACGGTTGCAACACTTCTTCCTGATTCCACCCTGGAATCAGTGAAGCTGGCCGTCCGCTCCAGTTCGACATGCTCGACGGCCACCGTGCTATCCCTCCAAACACTCCTCCGCGGGACATCGAAAGCGCCCACGGATGCGGAACCCACCACAGTGAGACGAGCGGCACGAACAACAAAAGCCTCGACTACAACTACTACTACGATTACGAGGACAAAGTCAACGAGGGGAACAAGGACGAAAGTTTCTGCGGCGGAAGCAGCAATCAATACTGTGGTGGAACAAGATGCTGCGCGTATATCAAACCAAGAGAAGCTTGTCCTGGCCACAGAAGTATTCAACACGACACTCAAGACCCTCTCGGAGGCTCTGAAACTCAACTCCAGCACAAAACGAGAAGATTCTCGCGCGTCGACGCCACGCGATTCTACCTCTGTTACCCGAGGCGTCACGAAATCACCCCGGAAAACGAATGCGACCGCCCTCGAGAATGGTATCCCCGCCGTGGCTGCGTGTGCGGCTACATCTTTAGCCTGTTTGAGGACTCTGAAGAGTGACCAGGTCGATGGGGGGTTGAACATGCAGCTTGAACAGGGTTCTTGTATACTGGCGGGAAGGCTCCTGTCGCTTGGACTCAACGACATGGCATACAAAGAACTGCGGGGGTTGAAGAAGAGAATACAACAAACCTTGGAACTCCAAGACTCGAATGGAACGAGAGCGTCTAGCCGGAAAGGACTCCCCGCGGAGTCAGAGGAAGAAGCAATCAAAGAAAGGATGTCTGATCTGCTGAGCTTCCCCGCTCCAGGCCAGATGCGACCATTGCTCGGATTGCTGGTGACCTTCCAGTCGAATGCCCTGCGACTCATCCTAAACGACAAGAAACCCATGACGATTCAAAACTTGGCTCCCTCGCTACAGCTATCAGATCCCAGCAGTCCAGCGAACATCATCTTAGCCGCCCTCGAGTCTGGAGCGCTGACTACCGAAAAAGCCGCGATGCAACTCCAATTACTGTCCAACACCATGTTGTCCCTATCCTCCACTACTACTCAGGCCCCCAGCAAGTTGAAACCCATGACTTCTCTGAGCCTGCAATTGCTATCCCTCGAAATCCGCTGCATGTCCTGGAAAATCTCGGGACATGTTTGCGACGACGCAAGAGAAATGTGGGATCCGATGGCTCGGTACTTGGCTAGCTTCATTCACCAGAACAAAGGAGTCACCAAGACGGAGTTTGCGACTCTATACAAGCACATTGTTCGTCTTCAGGCGGCTTTCACTAACGTTCAGAAGAGGTCAACTGCGAGCGTAAAGGACAATGTGTCTGTCGCAAGGATAGCAGCGATTCTTGGACAACTTGCCCAAGATGCGGGGTGCTTCGAGGAGGCTCTGAAGCTTTTCACTGAGTCTATAACCCCACTGTTCAATGGTCAATGCCTTGCCTTGGCTACCGTTCGCTGCAAGATCGCTTCTCTCCACTTTCAAGCTATCAGGCATTCGACCAAATTCACCGCTACTGCTCTGCCCGGTGTTCTCACGGACGCGACGAATGTTCTGTGTCTGTCTCTCAAAGGCAGTTCAAATGATCTTGATGAACTTCTAGTTGAAGCAGCAAAGCTCAAGAAAGCAGCGATGAGCTGGTTTGGCGATGTGATGTCAAAGGAGAAGGAGAAAGGTGAGGAGCAAAACGATGTTTGCTGTAAGATTCTCGAATATCTTAACGGCTTTATTCGATTTTTGCGCCGATACATTGGGCGCAAGCCGACAGATGAAGACCCGAAGGAGATCGAGTCGTTTGATAGGCGTGTCGCTGCGTCCCAAAATATTGCGTTCGCGGCTGTGGACTCTGTCCTCGCGGTTGGAAGGTTGTCTATCACGTCCGGAAGGCCCTCATGGGAGGTTATTCAACCGACCTTACTCGACTGTCAGCGACTACTCGTGCTAATCGAACCTCAAGGGGAGAAGCAACCCGGCTCTCCAGTTGTTGAAAGTGTCGATAATGCATTCGTCAAACTGTCGAATCTGTTCTGGTCCAGATATGTCAAGGAGAAAGAGTCTGGTCAAGGGTATCGTGATCTCTTACCCATCTTGAAGCAATCCGCGACCTTACTGTCAAATTGCTCGCCTTCGCAACGTGTTGCAGGGTTCGCACCCCTCAAGTATGAGCGACTAGCACACACATATATGGAAGGGGGGAATGCTCGTGAATCAGAACAGGCGTTCCATAAGTCGATCTTCGAACACATACATACTGGTACGCTCGACCAGGTAATCTCATCTACGGTTGGGTGCTTTCCGCACAGAATGTGCCAAGATCCTAAAAGCAATGGATTCATGCTTGGGCGCGTTCTGTATGCCCTCCTGAAATTGAACCTCAGATCCAAGAAGTCAAAAACGCACGGTTTCTTCGATGACGACAGCCTGGACCTGAGCCAAAGAGGCCATTTAATGGAGTGGCAACTGGGAGTGTTGGCTGAATTTCCCGCCAATGCTTGCTCCGATGAGGCCTTCCGATCTACTTTTACCATGCTTATCACACAAATCTTCAACTTGTACTCTTTTGATACCCAAACCATTCGTCTTCTGCGCGTTGTTCTTACTATTCTGCGTTTCTCTTTGGAACATCCGGGTTTGATGGACTCAAAGTTGCTATCAAGTGTCATTGACGTCGGCCGCCAATGCATTGACCAGGAGGACGTCGGCGAGGACTCCGACCTTGGTTCTCTATGGTCACACCTCAAAAACTCGGTCCAACTTACACTCGGCCTCCATGAGGGTGATCTGTCACCTTCCACCCTAGAGACAGTCCTTTTGTCTTGGAGTACAATGCTGCGAGACTGCGGCGATTTGGAGTCTCTTCTTCTGAAAATCGGCGACCTCGACCACTATTTACTTCAGATGAGGGCGATAGTTGACTACACCGAGATACACGGGCTCTGGAAGCTGCAACTCTCTGCACTTGAATTGGTGCTGAAGACCACGGAGCTCCAAGAATCGGGTGACTTTTCCGAAGCAATTATAGTTTTGTCACGGCTTGTTCTTCAATACAGTCGACTTGGCTTCTGCACACAAGCCAGTGCTCTCTTGAAGCAGGCGGAGCAGTATCTCACTCATTCGAATACCACCTGCTTAGCAATCTTGTCGTACCGAATAGCACACGTCGGCTATCTCCTTGAGACTGGGGATATTAGTCAAGCGGCGACCGTGCTCGCTAAAGCCAGAGCTTTATACGAGAAATACCAGAAGAAGGAAGATCTGAACAGCTGCTCCACCTTGTCCAAGATTCTATGGGAGAGGCTTGTTGCTGACGCAGCCTTCATGAGCTCTCGGTTGTCGTTCGCTCAAGGATCGGTCAATGATGCTCTCTTCTTTGCCAAGCTTTCTGTCCGGTTGAATTGCAGAATTTGGGCCAAGATCGAGAAACTTTCTCAGAAGAAACAAGACAAGATGATTCAGGCTAACGATAATTCTGAACTTGAGACTGTGGTGGAAGGAATGGCAAAGCTCGAGGTTGCGCAAGCAGCTCCTGTGCCGAATCCTGTCTATTCCCAGGGTGCCCCTTTCTGGCCTCATATTGGCTCTCATCATACCGCTCTGCTGAATTTGGCGAGTCTCTCGGCGCACCACGGTCTATTCCAGGATGCTATATACTACGGGGAACAAGCTCTCAAGATCAACAAATCTCTGAATGCGAATGTCCGTCTCATAGCGTCTCAGGCACAGCTTGGGTCCCACTGGATCTTCGGTGGTCATCTCTCTGAGGGGCAGGAACTGCTCGAGGCGGCGGAGTCTCTTTCCAAGCAACTCGAAAGTAGTGTCGAACTCGTCTCGCTTCAGGTTGGCCTTGCTTCTCTTTACAGGGCACAAGGCCGTTTTCTTGAAGAGCAGCGTGCTCTTCTCGAGGCTGACCGTATGATGACTCAAGTGGCTGGTCCTGATGGATTGGATGCCTCCGCAACAATCCCGAATCTTGAAGATCAGATGAAGAAGTTGCAACTCCAGGGAACGGCCAGGAAAACACGTCAACGTGCCGCCACAACCACAACAACAACACGCAGGACTCGGGCAGCGACAGTGTCCGCTTCGAATGCATCCAAGGCTACAGAGACACCAGCCACACCAAGCCAGTCCGAGTCCGAGTCTACTTCCCTTTCGCATTTGAGAAGCGAGATTCTCCGCCAGCAAGCTGCCTGTTTACGCACACTTCGTGACTTCGAGAAAGCATCAGTGACCCTCCACAATGCGCGGAAATTTGCGACGTCTCGGGACAGCCAGATATCTCTGCAGATTGGCGAAAGTGAGCACCTGCTTGCGGATGCCATTCGGCATTTTGCCACGCATGCAGTCTATTGTGTTCTCCCTGAATCAACCATCTCCCTGCCATCACTCCAGTCACCAAGCAAAGTCCCCAGCAAGTCCAGCACTGGTAAGCCAGCATCCACACGGAAAACAAGAGCTCCAGCTCGTGCACCAGCAAGAAGCACGAGGGCTAAATCCGCCAAGCCGACTGAGGACTTCTCTGTAATGTTGTCCAAAGCCGGGGAGAGCCTAAATGCAATCTTTCCCACCGCCACAACATTGGGGTCTACTCTTGACAGTCACGCAGCTTCTCGCCTGATGAGCCGTATCTCCATGCTCTCTCATGTTACTGTACCCGAGAGCTCGGGATTATTGTCTCAGTCTCCAGCAAACATGAACGAAATAGGCCGGATCGGTGCCTTTACGCGTGAACGAGCTGCCATCAGTCTTGACAAGCAGTTAGCAAACTACTGCGATCCTCTCCTTTGGCCAAGCGCTGAAGCAAAGGCCAAGTTTGAAGAGGATCTCTACTCGCGTTTCACCGAGGACTATATCGAGATCCTTCCAGAGAATTGGAACGTTCTTTCTCTGTCCCTTAGCGCTGATAGTACTGAGTTTGTTGTTTCAAGACTGCACAAGGGTCGTTCACCCTTCTTGTTACGACTACCACTCAAGCGTGGTTCTGAGGACGATGAGGAAGATCAGTTCACCTTCGAAGATGGGAAGGTAGAAATGAAGGAGCTCATCAAGCTGACGAACCAAAGTGCGCATGCAGCTAAGCACCAGAACGACCGGCAATCGAAGAAGGAATGGTGGAAGAACCGCGAAGCCCTGGACCGCCGCATGGAAAACTTGCTTCAAAACATCGAGAACGTGTGGTTTGGTGGTTTCCGAGGAATCTTCTCTCCAATGCCTCACGAAACCGAATCTTTGGAGAGATTTGCGGCTCTTTTCCAGAATGTCCTGGACAAACACCTACCTTCCCGACAGAAAGGTAGACGCGCCGAAGGCCCACACTTGACACTACACCCGAATGTTCTGGAATTATTCCTGGGTGTCAAGGATCTAGAGAGTCAGGAAGATCCCGAGGAAACCCTGATGGATCTCCTCTACTTCGTCGTGGATATCCTGCAGTTTCAAGGGGAGCGCAATGCGTACGACGAGATTGACTTCGATATGATGGTCGTGGAAACTCTGGATGCTCTCAGAGGGCATCACGATGCCGTGCGTAACGATCATAAGAAGCGGACACCGAATAGCACAGTTCTGGTCCTCGATAAGTCGCTGCATATGTTCCCTTGGGAGTCTCTTCCATGTCTTCAGGGTCTTCCTGTGTGCCGTGTACCATCCTTGGAATGCCTTCGGGATCGGATCCTGCAGTTCCAGACTGACCGCGCGGGTCGCCAACATGACTTCGGCATCGATAGCAGGAACGGGACGTATATCCTGAACCCCACTGGTGATCTGCAGACAACCCAGGGAACCTTTGAGAAGGAGCTCCTAGGGCTGGAACATTGGAAGGGGATATCCAAGCGGGAGCCGACCGAAGACGAATTCAGGCATGGCTTGGAGACCAAGAGTCTATTCCTCTACTTCGGACACGGTAGTGGTGCGCAGTACATCCGAGGCCGAACCATCAAGCGGCTGGAAAGATGCGCCATCACCTTCCTGATGGGTTGCAGCAGTGGAGCTCTGACGGAAGCGGGGGAGTACGAGCCATACGGGACGCCGATGAATTACCTGCACGCGGGGAGTCCGGCTCTGGTGGCTACCTTGTGGGATGTGACGGACAAGGATATTGATCGTTTCGCAAAGAGTACATTTGACAAGTGGGGCCTCTTTGGTGGCGAGGAGGAGGCGGTGGCCTTGGACGAAGCTGTCTGCCAGTCGCGTCAAGCTTGCGTTTTGAAGTATTTGAATGGTGCCGCGCCTGTGATTTACGGCATTCCTTCGGTGTTTTTGGAGTGATCCGATGGGGCACCCGGACGTAATGGATTGGTGTTGATGATCTTTCTTTGTTTCAATGGTGTCAATTAGCCTATTCCCCTTATCATTGCTAGCGTTTTACATATGATAACATTCTAGTTCTGAGCTTCTATCTAGTCCTACGATGAATAACCCCTACGCCGGTACGGCAGTTTTTTACCCCAATCACTGCCTCCGGTCTTGCAGGAGGATGAAATAGTCCGCAGGACCTTTAGAACAATTCCACAACCGAACGTACATTATAACGGCCAACAGAACCTCCCCATGAAAGATAGACATCTATGCTATCTCCATGTCATGGCCACAAAGGGGAAAATTTCCCGGAGCTCCACCCACGCCCCTCATTTTCCCCTCATCCGCGGAAAACCAAACCCCTCATCGTCATTCCCTTCCCCCTCCCTCTCCCGTTCGTTCCTGATTTTTTCTAATAGCGTCGCGTCCCAACGGAGAGACTCCTTCCCTCTTCTTTCCCACCTCCCTTCCGAGAAGAAGCTCGCCCCAGACATCAGGAATTGAGACCAACCATGTCCGTCACCACCAAAGCCACCATCGCCTCCTTCGGCGGCAAGCTCCTCAAGCTTAGCCATGCCGCCACCTCCACCAAGTGCGAGATGTCCTTCAACCTCTACCTGCCGCCGCAGGCTTTTCAGAATAGCAACCAAAAGATCCCCGTGCTGCTGTACCTGTCCGGTCTGACCTGCACGGCGGACAACTGCTCCGAGAAGGGATTCTTCCAGCACGGCGCCAGCAAAAAGGGCATTGCCGTGCTGTATCCCGACACCAGCCCTCGTACGTTTTGCCCTGCCCTGCCCCTTGCACTTACCTGCAGCCCAGCCCAGCCCGGCAGAGCACCGGGCATCTGATCCCGTTCATCAGGACCTAAATGCTAACCTCCCGAGAAAAAGGCGGCCTCAACCTCGCCGGCGAAAACGACGCGTGGGACTTCGGCACGGGCGCCGGCTTCTACGTCGACGCCACCAAGGCCCCCTACGATGCCGGCTACAACATGTACACCTACATCACCGAGGAGCTGCCCGCCGTGGTGTTCCAGGCGTTCCCGGTGTTGGATGCGGAGCGCGTGAGCATCACCGGGCATAGTATGGGGGGCCATGGGGCTTTGACTTTGGTGTGTATCCCCTTTTTTCTTTGTATCTGGGTGTAGATGGGAATAAGGCTTAACGCTAACATTCCATGTGACGCTAGTTCCTCCGCAACCCCGGTAAATACAAATCCGTGTCGGCGTTCGCGCCTATCTCGAACCCCATCAACTGCCCCTGGGGCCAGAAGGCGTTTGGGGGATACTTTGGCGAGGAGCTGCGCGACACCAAGTGGAAGGAGCATGATGCGACGGAGTTGGTGAGGAGGTGGAAGGGTGGGCCGTTGGATGTGTTGATTGATGTTGTATGTGCCTATCCCCTTTTTTTCTTCCATTGTTTTTTTGGGGGGGAGCGTGGTTGTGGTTGACTGGGTCTGAATTAGGCCAGGGAAGGAAGGAGGGTTTGGGTGGATGGCTAACATTCCGACAAATAGGGTACCGGCGACAACTTCTACAAGCAAGGCCAATTGCTGCCCGAGAACCTCGAGAAGGCCGCCCAGGAGGCCGGCGTCGAGGGCATCAAGGTCCGCTACCAGCCGGATTACGATCACAGTTATTACACGATGGCGACGTTCTCGGATGATCATGTCGAGCATGCGGCCAAGTATCTGTTTGCTTAGTGGGTTTTTTCTCCCTTTCCCCTTTTGCTGTTGTTTTGTGGTGAGGTTTATGTACCGGACTGGGTGGAAGAGCCTCAGGCTGGGGAGGATTGGAGATTGTGTTGTGTTAATGGACTTGGTTCTGATAGGTTTGAGGTTTTGGATTGAAGTGACCGTCCGCCGAGATCATCTCTTTGAAGTCGTGCGGGGGTGGCATGACTATATGATAGGTAATATTGGGGCTGAGAGGATCTACGAGGGACCACGTATATAACATGTTTCAACCGGAGAACCGGAAAAGAGTCACCATCAATAAATAAACTGTTGTCAATAAAAGGTACCTACCTACACCCACCCGTCGCAGCCCCAAACCCAGCCTATTCAACCCGCACAACCACCCGATCAACCCCATGCATCTCCTCCGGGAACCGACACCCCGTCAGCTCATGATCCCGCCACGACTCCCGCGGACACTGGTGCCCGCACACGCACTTCCGGTTCGTGCACCACAGCCCCTCGCCGCACACGCTCGTTCGCGAGATGCACCGCAGGTCGTGGAGATCCTGCGCGCTGGTGAGCCGCCGTCCGTGCGCGTGCGTGCAGCTGTCGCCGTAGCTGCAGTCGTCCTGCAGGTGGTACCGGTTGCAGAGCTTGGCCGCGCGGAGGCGCTCGTAGTTCTCTTTGCTGCTCGCGCGGCGGAGCGGGGGATCGATGCGTTGATCTTGGGCGTTGTAGTGGACTTTGGGGAGTGGGGGCGTTGAATTGACGGAGGGGGAGATGTCGAAGACTATCGGGGATGATGGTGAGGTTGATGATGAGGGTGATGATGGGCTTGGTGTTGAGGAGGTGGGTGTGGTGGCTGAAGAGGAGGACGAGGAGGGGGTGGACGAAGGGGTTATTTGGAGGTTAGCCTTCGCGATGGTAGCATAGTCCTGCCAGGGAGGAGACGAGGATAGTGCGCCGCCGGCGGTTGGTGGAGCAGCGGCAACGTTGGCTGAAGCGGTTGCAGCGGCGCTGAACGAGGATGCGCGAGCGGGGAGCTTTGCAGCCCGGAATACCGCTGGGAACGCGGTTGTCCGAAATTCAGTGGCTAGCTGTTCGATCTCCCATGCGAATGGCGCCCCCTCGACCAGGGTGATGCGGTTGCTCCCCCTATGGGAGCCGAGGAGCCGGGCGTAGCCGTTGTCCGTGGCGGCGCAGAAGATGATATGGCGGCAGTGGATGTCGAGGATGTCGCGCTCGAAGGTTGCTGGTTTGTTGTCAGCCAGTCAGTCAGGCTAGTCGTGCCGTACAGTACATGCAGCAGAAGAGGGGGCAGGTTGAAAGGTCGCATACCTCGGATCTTGACATCGGAGCATTCTTTGCCGTTTCCTGCGTCGATGAAATCACACTGGCTGTCTTCCATGTTGAAGCCCCGGACGAACGGGTCGAGGGTCTCCGTCGAGGACAGCACTTTGGCTTCCCGGTAGGCCTTCTCGAGACCGGGCAGGTTGGCATAGATACAAACTCTGTACTGCAGGTTGGGACTGGCTTGGGGGTCGGTGTCCCGGACGTAGCGCTCAACGGACTGGAGCAAAAGTCGTGCGGCTCTGCGGCCGCCGTTGTGGCCTTCTTGAATGAGGGCGTCGTTGAACTAGCTGTATGGTTAGCTTACGTAGGGCGTTGGAGAGTCGGAAGACGTACGTTCATACAGTCCCCGTCGACGAGGATAGACACGAAGCTTAGCTTTGCCTGCGTCATTAGTGTCTTCATTTAGACATGCAGTTTGTGTGGATAAGTAGGAACAGTACCTGATCATGTCTCAGATCTGCAACCTCCGTCTTGTATTGAGCAAGTTCTTGGATGAAACGGGACCTCTCATTCTCCTGTTTGGTGCATTCGTTGAGCAGAGCAGAGTGAAGCGTCTCGACCGCGAAGAATAGGTCCTATTGACAATGAATGGCCAGTCAGTGATTGCTCCTGGGGTACAACATGGACAACAGCAAGAACCCACTTGTATCAACCTGTTCTTGCAGTCATCGACTGCCATTACACTTCCAAACCGCTTCCTCAGCCCCAGTAGATCCATTGGAACCTGTGGTGGGCATAGAACGCTGGTCAACTCTGCATCCATAGTCCTCAATTTTGGACAGATGGTCTTTGGTATCACCCGCAGAATTCATTCTCATTGCCCGCTTTTATAGCAGGACTGAGGTAAATCATCCACATGGTGTGTGAGCTGTGAGAAGTGATAAATTGACTGTATCGTTTAATGCGGCGATTCGAAGACATTTCTGGCACAGGCGGCGGAGGCGTGACGCATCACGATCGCACACCCAATGGTCTTCCTGTTGAAATCGAGGGTGAGTGAAGGCCGGGCTATGTCGTTTGGGGATCATGCCGGTGTGATGAGTGTTAAGCGGCTAAGCGGAGAGGTGGGTTGGTCTCCGTTGACTGATGGGCAATTGTAAGCGCCAGTGAAGCGGAGCAATGTCACGGGTCAAGCGTTCATCCCCTGCATTCTGGCTGTGCCATTGTGGCGGAGTATGGAGAGATGGATGATTGTCGTTGGGCTTTGGGGGTTCTGCCTTGGTCACAGTGGTGATCGCTAGCGATAGATGTAGTTCTAGGACTACTTCAGTCTCGACGGCGGAGTAGGCAATACTATGCCTGGAGCCTATCTAGTATTCAGAAGTAACCAAGGGGGAGAGCTGCGCTATTGGACGTGCCCTTACTTTACTCTCTTCACTCCCCTCGTTGTGACAAGACTGCTGTTATGTTGAAACATTCGAAGTCTGCATTCGTCGCTCGTTTTAACTTATCTCCCATGACAAAGCATAGAACACAAAGCGTCTCGCTAAAGTAGCAGTCTTACAGCAACAACTCAAGCCAAGTCACAGGTACAACTCTTCCAACTAAACACCTACTTGCGCCTCGTCATCTCTGCTCGCCAGTAAGAGTCCACCTCCTCCTCAATCTTCTTCCGCGCGCCCGCCCCAACGTCACCTTCCACCATCTTTCCAGCCGAGCGCATAGCCTCACAGTCCCAACAGAAACAAGCCCCGTACGGCTCCCCCGTCGCAGCCTCATACAACTTAACCGTCGTATCGAGACCCCCAGTAAGGGTTTCTTCGCCAAGCTTATCATCATGATTGATATACCGTCCCGTCCGCTCAAGCATCGACTCTTCGTACAGGACCGCACTACACAGATGCGTGTGCCAAACCAAATCCACGTCCAGGGTCGGGACCAGCATTGTTCCCGGGTGCAGACGGAACAAGGTGACAAAGCGCTCGTAGCGCGCGAGTGCCCGGGTGAGGGTTCCCTGGAGCGCGGGACTGCGGATCCAGAGGAGGTCATGCATCTTGTCAATGAAGATGGCTTGTCGGAGGATGTTGTCCACTAGTGGGATGTGTTCTGGTGGGGTTTCGGGGGTTATTGCTTTGAGAGTGGTGGCTTCATTGTCCGAAAGGGCAGTGAATAGGTCTGGTGCGATGTTCAGCTCGTTGCGAAGCCAGGCTGAGGTCTCGCTGGGGAGAGTATAGTCCCAATTGTCGTGGGATAGGGCCTCGTGCTGGGGTTGCGTTAGAGGCGGGAAGCATTTGGGATGGGTTGGGAGAGGTCGGCTGGACTTACTATCGCTTCCCACGGGAATGAGAGGCCTCGGATGTGATCCAGGTGGGTTGTGTTGCAGAACTGGGAAAAGTCGTGTGGGTTGAGCAGGAAGGCATGCCATACCATGAGTATGTCTGCGACTGTATCAGTAGTGATCATGTCATTTGCGACAACCGAAAAACTCACCAAGCGGAGGTAGAAGGAGAGGATCCCTCCCCTCAAGGTGCTTGACTTCGAGATGATGGTTCAATACTCGAACCCATTGCTGAAATCTGGTTACTGCAATTGACAGAAACCTATGCCATCTCTCCGAAGGTTCTTTGCGTCCACCAAGTATCGAGTTTCTCTTATGGTTTTGTTTCCGATCCAGAGATTTCGTCAGCCTGCTCGAGGTAGTAACCCGGATACGGAGAGTATAGAACGCTTCCAGCAGCTCGAGATGAATAGCACATTGGCTTATCGAAGGAAGATCAGACCTGTCTTTCAACTGTATAGAGGACTCCTCGAACAAGCTCGGATGAGGTCCGACTATGTCTTGCGATAGGTTTGATGCTGGTGATGTGCGAGCTGAGTGTCGATGCAATATGGTCAGGACGTTGGAGAAATAGGATGGCATTTTCAAATGTCACCGATACCGATAATATGAGCCTCTGACTGAGGCGTACGAAGCCATCCCCCGTGGTAGATATAAGGAAGTGTGTTGTGCCCCGCCAAGATTGACAAGGCTGAGCATCGTGGCTGGTGGTCAGATGACTCTCTCGTTGATAATCCCATTCCGTCACCATCCTACATGCATCTGAAGCTTGTTTGAATTCGTTTACAGAAGTTCGTCACACTTTTAGGCTCCAAAGAACTTACTCCATACGATATTATCATTCGGCTCATAACTTCGACTTACCTCTACGCCTATCCGCAACCCTTTTCTTCTTCTCGCGCGTGCTCGGAATGATCCTCTTTATCCGCCGCTCTATATAGGCCTTTGCATCATGCCCATCAAGGCTCAAGCTCAGTGGGCCATCCACAGCCTTCAAGGACTTTGATCGCCCGCAGTCAAAAACCCAGTTGTGGCCCTGGAAACCGAACATTGTAGCCACAGGGCAGGACTCCATGCTCCCATCCAGTTCCCACTTAAAGCATGGCACCGGCATCGCGAGGTCTAACGGAATGTGAGGCGCGGCTAGCGCGATCAGCTCATCCATTGTCAGGACCACGTATAGCTGAGCAGCAGCGTGAATGACCCCCTGTGATCCTTGCACCAAATGAAGCAGACAGACATTTGAGACAAGATCTACTGGAATCCCATCCATAATGTAGTTGCCGCTGGTTGAGCCCCTCGCGGCTCTCCAGACCCGACTCCCGCCCTCAGTGGCCAGATAGGTCTCCAGGGCGTTCTCAACAGGATTAGAGCCCGCAGGACCGAAGAGAGGGTATGGATCTCGAAGAGCTGGCCCCAATGGCGGAGGGACGTAGGATGAGCAAGGGTAGCCGAGATCCGTATCTCTGAACTAACAGTCGTTCCATGAGGTACTTGGCTTGTGCGTAGGGCCAGGCCCATTGCTTCGTCCGGTTGGTGTGTCCTCTTGAGGAGAGGATCTCGTCCAGCTCTCTTTCGCAGTCGATGTCGTCTGCACCAAACGGCTGGATAGTTTCCGCGATCTCTCCATCGAACAGAAAGCTGTTGACGTAGGCACTGGACACCTGGACGAATGTGGCGAGCTGTGGGAAGCTTGATCCAAGCTGGGCCAGATTTAGCGCTGAAAGACAATTGTTCTTGCAAGACTCGTGGACATCTGCAACGAAAGAAGTATTTGCCGCTGTGTTGAGTATAACGGTTGTCTCCTTTCGAAGTACAGATAATTGCCTCGCATCCAGGTCTAGGTTTGTCGCGGTGATGTCCCCCTTGAGAAATTGCAGTTGCCCTGTGCTCATGACTTCATTGATACATCCGGGCATGTTCATGTGCAGCTTTGCGATGGTGTCTTCCTCGGAGCTTCGATGAAGGAGAAAGACTTTCTGGACAGGTACCTGATGAATGAGTTTGAACAGAAGACACCCGCCTAGGCCGCCCGTTGCTCCAGTCAGGAGCACGGTTTGTTTCGCAAACCACTCTCGGTAGAAGGCTTCGGTCAATGGTGGTGCATTCGCCATTCTAGGTATAGAATATTATGAGCCAAAAACTGGCACATGCATCTCACCACACATCACGCTGCTGGGGCTCTTTTATATAGTGGTTGCGAAACTCGAAACCATGTAATCACATTTCGTGATGTCAGTTACTTATTTTGCCTCAATGCAAAGCATGCACTGCTTTCGCCACTCCAGGCAGGTCTCACTCCGAGCGATTCTTATGATATGGCTCTTTCCTATGCTAGAAGCATGTGAAAAGGTCTTCGAGGAACTTAGCGTCGAATTTTATCACGCTGATAACGATCATGAATCAATTCCGACAGTGAACTCCAGACATTGTAGGACACCAGACTACTTCAGGCCCTCACTTAGATGAGAATTGCCGCAGCCTACCAGAGCTGGAAAATAAGGTTCCCAGTATGAGGTAAATGCTGGAGTAGCTGGGTTTTAGCAAGCGCGGATTCATTTCTCGTCCTTGGACCATACCAGCGTGGATCCTGGACATAAGTGCCCGGTCAGCAGAGATATAGTACAGCTTCCGTTTTCTGTAGCCAGAAGAAATCAAAGGACATATCCACCGGAGCCCTTGAGATGACAATGGAGTCCGCTCGATTCGCCCTGCAATGACCAGAGTCTTCTCCGCTACTGTGCAGCTGATCACATGGTTAGCACTTTAGCTGTTTCATCAGTCGTACTCCATCCAGCTTTCTAGTTGAATTCTCCTTGGTACTATCCAGGGTTGATATAGTATATCCACCAATGCTCTGACAGCACGCGCGTTCGTCAGGGTTCCTAGAAAGGATTCATCATCGCCAAGAAGCCAAGACGGATACTGCGTGGAGGATCAACGGACTCAGTTCCGAGATGGCTCTAGACAGCGGAGTGTATGTGTGCGAGAGAGAGAGAGAGAGAGTCAAGGCTGGCATTGAAACCAAGATGATGATGAATAAATCCATGGTGGAGCTGTAGGCGACATGGCGTTCGTTGGCTGCTGTTCGCTATTTGGAGATGCCAAGGCCGGATGTTGCATTTTCGGCGGTCAACGGGAGCATTTGCGACAATCAAAAGCTTAGATCTCCAGCCACTGTTCAGTGTTTAGACAACTTTACATTCACTGTTTCATCATTGGCTTGCAGCGCAAGCTGCCCGACGCAGCCCGGAGCTTTGGGGTTCCGCTGACTATTCAATGGCAATCCGCGGATTAGAGAGCATCGTACAGGCAGTGGACCGACCGGCTGTTCGTTGTTCGTTGTTCGTCAGCGTATGATGTCGGCTTCGCCTCAGCCGGGTCACAAATGATGACTGATGGAACTGAGCTTGCCTTGGCTGGGCTGACTGGCTATCCCATCCCATCCCATCCCATCCTTCTGTTCCCTCATTGCGGAACCAACGCCATGGAGCTGTGGTTGATGCTGCGGCCAAGAAAGAAGCAATCCCGTCTCCTCTCGCAAGTGCACTGAAATTTAAGAAGAATTCAGTCGTTACAGTACCCATAATATTAGACTGCTACTAAGCGTTTCGAACGACGAGGATGCTGACGCAGCCCCTGCGGTGCAGGGCCCATCCTCCACCACCAACTTCTCCTCCATCCCTCTTTCGCCGCGGTCCGTCCGGCTTTGTTCGTCTCCCCTGGGCTTGTCGTTATTATCGGCGATATTTGAACACCTCTGCCTCCGCTTCTTGTTCGCCGCGATTGTATCACCATAAGAGCTCCCGTGCTGCCTCCGGTTCTTCATCGATCTTTCCTCCCACTCTTATCGCGTGCCCCAATGCTTCCCTCCGTCCAACTGCTCGCCCGACCCTGATTCCGTCCCTCACTGCTGTTGCCTGCTCTACAAGACTACCAACCTCAATCACCCTCCCTTCAATGGCCACCCAAACAAGAGAACACGGTGGCCACCACCACCATCACCACCACCATCATGGCAGTAATGTCTACCTCACATCAACCGACAAACACGATGCTGGAGTCCGCATCACGCGGATAGGCTTGCTCGCTAACCTGTGTATGGCCATTGGCAAATTCATTGGTGGCTATGTGTTCCATTCCCAGGCCCTCATTGCCGACGCCTATCACGCCCTCACCGATCTGGTCTCGGATATTTTGACTTTAGCCACGGTTGCTTGGTCGTTGAAGCCGCCGTCGGAGCGGTTTCCCAACGGCTACGGAAAGATTGAGAGTATTGGAGCTCTAGGTGTGAGCGGGTTGTTGCTGTGCGGCGGCGTCTTCATGGGCCTCAACTCCGGGCAGGTCCTCCTACACCAATTCTACCCCGGCATCGCCGAAGCAATTGCGCACGTGGGGGCTCTGGGGCACAGCCATTCGCATAGCCATGGGGTGGAAGCGCTCGGCCCAAGCATCCATGCTGCTTGGCTGGCTGCTGGATCTATCGTGGTCAAGGAATGGCTTTACCATGCCAGTGAGTACCTTGAGAGGGTCAATCAACCAGTTTGAAAGGTGATACTGACGTCTCTTCTTCAAACAGCTATGAAGGTCGCCACGGAACGCAAGTCGTCAGTCTTGGCCTCCAACGCCGTCCACCACCGAATCGACTCCCTGACCAGCGTCGTTGCTCTTTTTACGATTGGTGGATCCTACATGTTCCAAGATGCTTCCTGGCTGGATCCCGTGGGAGGACTCCTCATCTCACTTATGGTCATAAAAGCTGGATGGGGCAATACCAAGATTTCCCTCCTGGAGTTGGCAGACACCACCGTGGACGACGATGTGAAGGCTTCGGTGCACAAAGCGGCTACTAAGGCACTGTCTCTACTGGACAGTGGCGAATTGCTCAGAATCCATGATGTCCAAGGGATGAAGTCGGGCCAGAATTATCTTATGGATGTCGAGGTCGCAGTGCCAGGCGCGTGGTCCATTAACCGTGCTCGCGAGGTGGAAGAGGCAATGCGCACTGCTGTCGGAGAACGAGTCCGCGGCGTCAAGCGGGTCAAAGTCCGGTTCATTCCTCTTGAGCATCAGGAGTTGACCTTCACTGAAGAATTTATTCCGGCTGAGGTGACTTCGCGGGCGCGTCCTGAGCCGGAGGATGGTGACGAGCACGAGCACGACCACGAGCATGAGCACGAAAACCGCAAAAGCCGTTAGATAACGAGGACCCGCTTGCCAGGTCGCTGTCCGGTATCGACGTCTTTGCGTGTGGCCGACGAGGTCCTCTGTCGTGCTTCTCTTGGTCGTTACATTTCTCGAGGCTTTTGAGCACCATACCTTTGATACCCAGGCTTGGAATTTTTCCTGCTCTCCGCAGAGGGTTGGTAGGGTAGATAGAGCCAATATAAGATGAACATAGCAATGACATCAAGGGAAGACACTATCGTAATTAGTTTATACAGCTAAGGAGTTTTCTGATAGATGCTCGTGTATTAATGTGAATACACAGGCACGGACATGGTTGAATTGGTGAAGATCGTCCACAGACATGGAGTGCGCAGTTACCCCGTAACTTACCCCTCCAAGAGCGGGTGATATGCGGGGGATCGCTTCAACAGCTCAGCTGATGGTTTGACAAGACATGAACTAAGACTTATGCGTAGAAAGTTCAACAGGCCCTAAAACAATCCGTCACAGTCCGGACTTCACTAGTGCAGGGCTCAAACATGGTCACAATGTCCCTCACAGGGTCTGATCTAGACCCCCCGTCGTTCTTCCCGTGAACTGAATTAACCGGGTAAATTCCCGGCGGCGGTGGAACCCGGGATAAATTTGACCTCATCGTTATGAGGAGGAATAGCAAATTTATGTTCGAGAAGAGCCGTGCTCGGTAAAATACACGAAGCTTCGGCAGAATCTTGTTGTGGTTATGGAGACTATGGTGATATAGATAAGGGAGAAGAAGTCTTGCCAGATGGCGACGTTGGGTCAGCTCTTCTGAATTTCTCCCCCGCTGCGCTGCACACCATAAACAAGTAGCCGGAAGTGGAAAAGGTTAGTAGCTCCGTCGATCTTAAGTTAGCATCGAATGCCCATTGCATCAGCGGTGTCTGTCGGGTTGTCCTTTGCCACACACTCTAACTTACAGTCTCTTACATTACCCCTCTATCAGTTGGTTTCTCCAATTGCTTACACTCGACCGTTCTCTTCTTTCTCATCTACTACGAAGTTTTTTTTGAGGCATATATATCATTGAGTACCTCTTTATCTCACACCTGACACCCCATCCAACGACACCTACGTCATTACCCCGGACCGCAGCATTCCAAGTGCCATGGCCCAACCCGACAGCCCCCTCTACATCGGCTTCGACCTTTCCACCCAACAACTGAAAGGTCTGGTCGTCAACTCCGATCTCAAGGTCGTCTACGTGTCGAAATTCGACTTCGATGCCGATTCGCGCGGCTTCCCTATCAAGAAGGGCGTCCTCACCAACGAGGCCGAGCATGAGGTCTTTGCACCCGTCGCGCTCTGGCTGCAGGCTCTCGACGGCGTGTTGAATGGACTACGCCAGCAAGGACTGGATTTCCGCCGCGTCAAAGGCATCAGTGGAGCTGGTCAGCAGCATGGAAGCGTCTACTGGGGCGAGGACGCGGAGAAGCTGTTGAAGAGTCTGGATGCGAAGAAGACGCTGGAGGAGCAGCTGGAGGGAGCGTTCTCGCATCCTTTCAGCCCCAACTGGCAGGACTCGAGTACCCAGAAGGAATGCGATGAGTTCGATGCATACCTGGGTGGGCAGGAGGAGCTTGCCGCTGCTACGGGGAGCAAGGCACATCATGTAAGAAGCTTTCCTCCCCTGGGTTTTGTCTGGCCCGTTCTGTGCGGAGGAGTGTCTGACAGCTGTGGTTTGCGTTTGTAGCGATTCACTGGACCTCAGATTCTGCGATTTCAGCGCAAGTATCCCGAGGTGTACAAGAAAACATTGCGGATTTCGCTGGTCTCCTCGTTCCTGGCGTCCCTGTTTTTGGGCCACATCGCGCCGTTCGATATCTCTGATGTCTGTGGTATGAACCTGTGGAATATCAAGAAGGGGGCCTACGACGAGAAACTCCTGCAGCTGTGTGCAGGGCCT